CCCATTCTTATCACAGATACCCTTGATTGCCTTGAATCAGGAACTATCGATATAGACAAAACTATAAGTGATCACAAAGCAACTTATATTATACTCAAACTAGACACAGCGATTAAAAATACGTATGTTCGAAAGATTTTCCAGTACAAAAGAGCTAACTTTGATCTATTTAGAACGGATATGAATGAAACAAATTGGGATGAAATTTTAAATAGCGAAGATGTTGATGTTGATATAGTTAAATTTAACGAAAAAATTTCAAAATTTGTGAATGAACACATCCCACAAAAAGATGTAATAGTAAGACCGGACGATAAACCTTGGTTCAACTCTGAAATTAGGAAAGAAATAAATTTGCGCGAAAAATTTAGAAAAGCTTACAGAAAATCAAAAAATGAGGAAGATAAAGCAAAATACCGTAAACAAAGAAATAAAGTCAATAATTTTAAAAAGAAACTAGAAGAAGAGTACTTGTTAAACCTGAATGAATCATTAAATCATCTAAATTGTACAAACTCTAAAACTTATTGGCAGATAGTTCGCAGATTATTGAAAGGTTCTAAGCCGTCACACTCCGTTCCTCCACTAAAAGAAAATAATGACTATGTATTTACAGATGAAGGAAAATGTGAAGTACTGAATGCTTATTTCTGTAAAGTTTCTTCTAATGATAACATAGATAAAGACCTCCCCGAATTCGAATCAAGAACAGAAGCCAAACTTGAAAATATAGTAATAAACGAAAACGAAATTGTCGATATTATTGGAACTTTAGATCCAAAAAAAGCCTCTGGTCCAGACAACTTCAGTCATATCTTAATAAAAGAAATAAGTAATGAGATTGCAATCCCGCTAGAAATCATCTTTAATAAATCTCTGAGAACTGGGAAATTTCCATGTGCTTGGAAACATGCTAATGTAATACCTGTTTTTAAAAAGGGTGAGAAATCAAACCCATCCAACTACAGACCCATTTCCTTATTGAGTTGCATAGGGAAAATTTTTGAAAGGGTAATGTTTAAATACATTTATAATCATTTAGTATCACATAAACTTTTATACAACTTACAAGCTGGATTTATGCGTAACCATTCAACTGTTACCCAATTAATAGAAATTTAACATAACATCTGTATTGCCCTAGACAGTAAAGAAGTCACGTGCTTTGCCTTTTGCGATATTAGCAAGGCATTTGACACAGTTTGGTTAAAAGGATTGAAATACAAATTAGAAAAGTATGGGTTTGTGGGAGAGGTTCTTGTGTGGCTAAATGATTATCTCACTAGTAGATCACAACAGGTCAAAATAAAATCATCAAGTTCTTCCGTAGGAAAAACCAAAGCAGGAGTTCCCCAGGGCTCTGTGCTTGGTCCTTTACTTTTTTTAATCTATATAAATGACCTGCCATGTGGACTCTTAGGTCTCTCTAGATTATTTGCAGATGATACATCTGTGTCTAATACTTCCAAAAACTTGCAGGACTTAGAAAGACTTACTAACTATGATCTAGAACAGATTAATGAATGGTCAAAAAATTGGGTTGTAAAATTTAATCCTGATAAAACCAAAATATTAATATTTGGTTGTAAAGAAGACGAAGTATCCAATCTACGATTTAAGTTTGACAATAAAGAAATAGTCCCATCGTCTACTCATTGTCATCTTGGACTTATCTTTTCAAATTCTGGGAAGTGGACAAACCATATTGACAACATTATTAAAAAGACCTCAAAAGAAATTGCTGTTCTTCGGAAACTGAAATTAACGTTAAATCGTGACTTTTTAAATAAGATGTATATTACTTTTATTAGACCCCTATTTGAATATGCATCAGAAGTATGGGATAATATTACCGCAGCTGACTGTGATAGGCTGGAGAAATTACAATTAGAAGCTGCGCGTATTGTCACAGGCCTTCCTATTTATGCTTCTCGTAAATCTCTATATTTCGAAACGGGATGGGAAACTCTTGCTTGTAGACGGGAAAGGAGAAAATTATGTTTAATGTATAAAATAAAACATGGCCTCGCACCAGAATATTTACTAAATCTATTACCCCCTGAAGTCTCTCAAACTACCAATTATGATCTACGAAATAGTAATAATATTGTTATTCCCCAATGTAGAACAAATTTATTAAAAAACTCATTTTTTCCATCTACAATATCAGCATGGAATGCATTGCCTACTGAGACTAGAAACCTTGACACTATAAATGCTTTTAAAAAGAGACTCTCTAAAGGTGATCCTCCCCCAAAATATCTTTCTTATGGCGACAAAAAACTGAATTCAATTTTAACCAGAATGAGGCACAATGTAAGCCTCCTTAAGTCAGATCTTTTTAAGTTTAGACTTTCAGACAATACCCAGTGTTCTTGTGGATATATCAATGAAAACACTGAGCATTTCTTCCTCTATTGTAAAAATTGTACTGAAATAAGAACAGAATTATTTCATGCTATAAAAAATAACAAAGGAGAAATAGACCTTGATAAAATTCTTTTTGGGGACCCAAACTTGGGTCAACAAAGTAATATCAATAATGTTAAAGCCGTACATAAGTATATTAAAAATTCGAAAAGATTTTTTGAACAGTAAGCGTAACTATTCTGTATCCTTTACATCCCCTTCCTTCTTTCATCTTTCCTTGCACGTAGATTTATTTGTTGTTCATCACGTGTATATAAATTTGTTTTTCTTTGTTTGTGTTGGAGAGGATATTCTAAGTTGGAAAAACTTGTGTCTGATCCAATTGATTATATCAATAAAATATGTTTAAATTCAAATTCCTTGTGACAAAATCTTTCTTTGGCTATCACGAAATTTGACCTTTTGACCTTGACCTTGGAGTTTGACCCACTTTTACATGAAAATTTTAAACTTTTACTTTGGCCATATCTTTTGACCTTGACCTTTGAGTTTGACTTACTTTAAAAAAGCAAACCTTGACCATAACTTTTAAAGGGTTAGGGCTAGTGCATCCATACTTTACATATTAAATCCTTGTGACAAGACCTTTCATTTGCTAAAATGTACACATTTAAACCTTAATTTGTAAATTGTAAATCATAATTTTAAAATTTGTCAAATATTCTATCACAATGTTAATTGTAAATTATCCAACAAAACTTGAAAAGTGTAAAATGCAAACGCAAGTTGGAACTTTGAACCTGTTGGCTTTCCATAGCATACAGAGTTTAGACAAGAATATTTTTTTTTATTTTGATTTTCATTTTAAAACATGATTTACAATGAATAAATAATTTTATTGAATAATTATCATAAATATTATATTTAATGAAAAGAATTTGATACAAATTTAGAGTCACTCTGAAATAGAGCAACAATTTAAGAAAAAAAATTATAATAGCTAAAACTCTGCAGAACCAATTTGATGGTTTAAATTGTGAAAAGTCTTTTCTGAAAAATGTTTTATGTATTAAGTTGCATGTATTAGTTATTGCAAGCATACAAGTAATTGCCTGACGTCACGGCGTCAGGCTGTATAAGGACTGGTATTTGCAAAATTCGAAATTAATAGATCATACCCAGAGAGCTAGATTTTGAAAGATACAGTTTTAAGAAAAAAGAATGATATTACTGATGCCAAATACTGTAGTGTTTACTTCATTTAATCTTTTTGCATGGAACAATTACTAGTATTCCATGTGATTAAACGTTTCAACATGCCCGTGTATCCTTTTTTCTGCATTTCAGTCCATTTATATTCTATGAAAGGGTTGTATCGCTCTTTTCGCGCCAAATGTCACAGTAAGCTATTCCATGGATTTTTCTATTATGTGAATGGGTGTGCTAACGTCTATGGAATAAAAAAAAAGTTTGTTCATTTAATCTCCTTCTAATACTTTAGAAATTTTATCTAAAAATTTTATCTAATTCTTTTCAGTAACATATCAGTATACGGACATGCATTACTAAAGAATTTTTTTTTTCCTAAGGACTAGTCCAAAAATGATCAACGCAGTTCAACAAGCCATGGAACATCAGATGCACACAATAGATAATAAACCAGTACAAAATCTTGGATTTGTTCTTTCCACACAGGCCTAAATATTGAATTTTCTTATTTCATTCTTAATACCGGTATATAATAGTGGCACTACCCCCCCCCCCCCCTCCATTTTCAGAAAAAAACATTAATGAACACACATTAATACTACTGTTTACTTCAGTGGAATAAATACACTCCGACAAAATGTGTATTTCTAATTATATCTCCATCTTGTAAAATGTTACAATGCTTGATTTCATAAAAGATATTAAAGATATTATATAACAGGTGTAATGTAGCTTTCAATTTAGATCCAAGGGCAGATCACTCCACTTGCAGCCCCCCCCCCCCCCCAAACAGAATGACTCTTTAACTCTTTAGTATGCAATGTAAAGATGATTCCTCTGTAAGTTAAATAAAATCAAGGATTTCATTTTCATAAGGTTTTCAAAATATACAGTAAGAACATACTTTAAATCCACAAAAGTATTGCTCGAAAGGTTTATCACTCCTCATGCAGATTTTGATTGATTTAGTCAGGCAAGCCTTTTAAAAAGCTGTTACTTGTGTTGTATTTTAAAATTTTCACCCAATCCCATAGAAAAAAAAATCAATTGCAATTTGAATATGATTGGTCAAAAACATAGTATGACACTGGATAATTTTTTTTTCAGAGCCATCTATCAAATTTACCTTTGTTGTTGACATTTAATATTTAAATTGATATAAGGAAATATCTGTGCAGGATGTTAACTGATTTATTAACAGTTGTTGAATATTAATGCTGCATGTTTATAAGTCCGGATATTGTGATTATCATCGGTCCTTTATTCTACCTTTAGTTAAACTTTTTTGTTTCTGATAAAATTGATATCCAGTTTCACGTGACTTAATTCTTCCTTTATCTGTTTCTTTTTCCATAACTACCATTTTATTGTAATTCATTTGGTCTGCAAAATTAATATATTTTTTTCTCTTTTTTCTTTAGATAAAATTCGTCAAGAATTTCCGTTCCTATTCTATCCCTAATATAAATTCTGCAAATGAAAATGGAACCTCCTACCCAGGAAATCCGTTCTTCAATCAGCAGCAATTTCTGTGAATCGGAGTGGTCCATCAGCTCGCCAAATGACACCGACACGGAAGGAGAACTAACTCCTACATCAATGTTGCAAGAAAAAATGCAAAGTTTATCACCAGCGTGCATTACTGCTGAAAAGTACCACTATGTGGATACACAATCTGAAAACGATGCTATATCAAGCACACGCTGTAGTGAAAATAGCTCTAATGAAAATATCAATGACAGATGTTACTTTGAAAACTCGTTTCCATTTCACATTGTAAGATATGGGATTCCAGAGCTCTCAAAGAGCAGGGGATCAAACAGAAGTAATTGTTCCGAAAGCAGCATGAGTAGTGCCTATTCAGAATATATTCCAATCTCTCAACCGGAGAGAGTCCAATTAAGGTTTAGCACAAGAATCGACACAGCAGAGATGTGTCACTACAGTCCCTCAAGTGTCATCTCTCACTTACCGGTAGAGCTCTTGCGCTGTCAACCTACAGGCAAAAAATTTTGTTGTTTAAGGTCTGCCAGACAATATACTCTGAAGAAATATGCAAGAAGAAACAAATTGGAATGCACTTGTCTCGATGGAACTTCTGAGTTCTCACGAAGTCATCAACATCTTTCCGTCTGTGATGTAAAAGAACATAATGTTTTTGATATCAGAGCATTGAACAGTTTTGGAAATTGGTTTAGTAATTTTCCCAAGGATAAGCAGGAAAGTTATAGAGTCATGTTAGCACTCATTGGTAATACTCCAATTCGTTGTACATGTAAACCAATTCGTTGTACATGTAAACCATTCCAGCAAGACGATATGGATAAAATTGAAGACGTCTTTGGTGCTTTAAGTGCGGATGGTGTTGAGGGCAATAAACTCATTGTTAGCAACAACGACAGTGATATCCTTCAAATCACCGCACATAAAGCCAGTCCAAACGATGGTGAAATGGAAAATTTGGCAGTCCAGAAAGCTGCGACCGCGTCAAACATGAGCCAAGGGAGGAATAAGTCGGCTTACTTTGCAAAGAACTCCCTTCAAAGTAGGAAGAAATATGAGGCAAAAAGAACAACAATAAACAGAAAATTTTCTAAATTTAGTGAGGAAAAAAAGAAACCAGTGATTGAGAATCAAAATTGTGTAAACAATAAAAGAAAACTCATAACTAAGATCGGTTACGCCAGAAAACAAAGACATTACTCAAAAATAAATACTAAAGTTCTTTCAAACCAAAAGGCGATGAATACAACCAAAAAAGTCAATCCGTTTCAAGGTGAAAATACAACAATGAGAAAAGTAAAACCAATTTATCCTAGCATAAGTCTTGAAAACGAGAATGGATACTTTGAATCTGAGAAACATAGAGAGGGTTCCGGTAAACTACATTGTGCAGAGAAGGACAATATGTCATTGCCTGGGCAAGCTGAAAAGAATGTCTTCAAAGATTTTGAAGACAGCAATGTCAGAAAATGTTTGAATTCATTTTCTCCGTGCAAAATTGATAGAGAAAACCTGATTATTGTTGATGATGAAGATAGTCAATATAAAGAGGAAACACACTTCAGTGTCATTCCGAAGTATGTGCATCGGACAGAAAGAGTTCAAAGCATGCCATTTGCAAACATCCTTCCAAAGGTAAATACTCGAGGCTTAAATAAGGATAAAGAACGACACAGTAATCCAAATACTGAGCGATTGAGCACATCAAATCCATCTCTGAAAGTATCTGATTTTCAGTTCAGACAAGATGAAAATTGTAGGAACCAAGAAAACGTCCATCCTGTTGCAAAGTCGCGTTTCCCCGTTCTCGCAAATGGATGCTTTCCAAAGAAAGGAAACAAGGGTATTTACACACATGATGTTCCAGGAAAATTTACTTCCCGGGTTCCTTCCACTGCAAAAGAAGACGACTGTACATGTATTGGTATTAACCTTCCAACCGCTGCAAAAGAAGCAAAAGAAGACGACTGTACATGTATTGGAATAAACTCCAGAAAGAAAACAATTGTCGGATATGTCCCTGGTTATGGAGCACTACGTATGAATTCAAACAGTGTTAAACCTGTTAATAGTGTTTATACTGTCAACGATTCCGATTACCATTCCAGAAAGAACAAAATGTACTCTGCCAAGGAATACAGGCAAATTAGAGTAGAACCTGCGCAAGCAATACCACGCACATCTTCTGTGAGCACGAAGCTGCCCCCAATCCTTTTTAAACAAGCTGAAGGTATTCGTCAAGGTGGTGTTAGTGATAGAAGAAATGTTGTCATAAAGAAGACAAAAAATAAACGTGGCGTTGATATCCTGGAATCCCGTGCCAAAGCGAGACAATTCAACACTTATGTAGAAGCCAGTGCATCCGCAAGATTTGAACGTCAGTTCGCTGCGGATCTTTAGTTACTAACTATAGTTTCTTGACTCTCTTCATTCAGTAACCAAGTTTAATTCGTGAAGTGCAATTATCGATGTGTGCTGACAATGAATTGTAGATTGGAAACACTAATTCTATCATATCTGAATTACACATGAATGTAGTAATATAACTATATATTATTAAATATGCATTAAAACTTTGTTGTTTTTTTTAGAAGTAATTTAAAATCGTTAGTCACATGCACAGGCACCTGACTTTACTTTTTTTCTTTTAATAAAAAAAAATCTTACCTATTAGGTAGGTGGTAATTTTTTATTAAAAGAAAAATGAGTAACGTCAGGTGCCTGTGGTCACATGCATGAATATTTTTATATACTTAGTATTTAACTTTTATCTTGACAGAAAACGTTCTTTTAGAAAACAGTATTGATAAATAAAATGGGCTAAAAAAAATAGCATCGATTTTTAAATTCAACTTTCTAATTGGTTGTATCTGATGCGTTTGTCAACACTTATTCATTCAAGCAATGGGAATACTTGTCTATTTTCCTGAAATATTTGCTGTTTGGATAGACATTTTTTCAATGATAAGGTTTCAAAATTAACTTTAAAAATGCACGAACACGGGGTAAAACACATTTGCATATAACTGAGCCAAGTCATGTAGACGTGCAAGAATATTTCGACTTTTATCTCTCCATATGCGCCAATCCTTTAGCAGAAACTTTTTTGTTATTTTGTTTTAGGCCTGTGCCTTTTTTAAGGTTGATGGATTGTATCATACTATAAAGGGTGCTGGAGGTGGTCTTCACAGCTGAAATATCAGTACTGACAAGATTTTTTTTTATAGCTTTTTGTTTTTTTATTACCAATTGTTATGCAAGCAGTGGTATAAGGCTTATTTACTAGTAATTTACTAGTAAGTTCTTTAAAAAACTCTTTGAAGATGTCTGATATCATTTAAATGAATCTTAATAATATGTTTTATCCTTCAATAGTCAAGTGGGTTTTAGTATATTTATTAAATGACTCCAAACAATGGGTAGATGATATCACAGAAACAATCATATTCTTTGGAAAAAAAACTGCATTTCTGACATTTTTCGAATTGGAAACATTATAAAATAATATGTACAAAAATAATTGATTCATCATCTATGATTTTTCATAAAAACAAAATATGTTAATAAATACCTGCGCTGAGATGTATATATTCAATAGCCGTATACCTATATCTCCGTATACAATTGTAAAATTGTGATGAGATAATATTTATCAATTTAGTTTGAACAAGAATAATCAGTTTAGTCCACATGTATTTGACTGTGATGAAACGGGTATGTCCAGAAGCACAAACTGGCTAGACTATATTAAGTCATTAGTGGAAAGACTGGTGGCTAGATATATGTATTTTCAGACACGTACCACCGTTTACACTATTTGATCCCCAGTGTGCACATACGTGAATGCACAAGTCACTGAAAATTATAATACTTATTTACTTATGCCTGCTATACCTTTTGGACCTTTTGGGCCACGGCTGCTGACAAGACCTTTCTATTCTGAGCAATGCCTTCTACCTCTTTCCAGTTCTTGCCCAGTATTTTGACGTCTGCCTCCAAATCTTTCCGCCTGATGTTCTTTGGCCTGTCTCTCCAACATTTGCCTTTGGGGTTGCAGGACAGGGTTTGCCTTGTGATGCTGTGGGCCTTGCGTATAGTATGCCCTATCCACCTCCACCTTCTCTGCATTACTTCTCCTAATATGAGGGCTTGGTTGTTCTTTGCAACAAATCGATGTTACTGATTTTGTCGGGCCATCTAATTTGGAGGATGCGTCTCAGTCAAGAGTTGATAAATGTCTGGATCCTGCTTGTTGTGGTAACAATAATCCTCCATGTCTCAGAACAGGAGTACAGCCTTAACGTTGCTATTAAAAAGCCTAACTTTGGTGCGTAAATTGTTATTCTTTTGGTCATCCAGATGTTTCCGAGTTGCAGTAATGCTACTCTGGTCTTTCCTATTCTTGCTTTTATGTCCGCTTTCGTTCCTCCTTGTTGGTCCACTAAAATGCCAATATAGGTGAAATGTTCTGCTTCCTAGGCTCTATTTCCTTTCCTTCTATATTTAATGAAACATGCGATGGTGTGTTTGCTCTTATGATCTTTGCTTTTGCAATATCGATGTTAAGTCTTAAAGTTTGCCGATGTTTCTACCACTGTTCTAATTTCCTATTGCATTTGTGCCTGGGTATGTGATAGGAGTACCAGGTCATCCGCAAAATTTAGATCGCCTAACAGTGACCACAGTGTGCACTGTAATTCATTTTTCCTCTTGTCTGTCGGCAGATTGCAGTTTCTCATCTTTGCTGCAATTTCGACTGTTTTCTCTGCTACATATACATGGTTCTTGCGTTTGAGATTTTTATGTTGATGTTTCTGGATCCGAGAGTGAGTTTTCAGCCTTGTAGTTTCCTTCTGTCTCTGGCTTTCATCGCAAGGCGTCCTTCGTCTTTCTTTTGGAGTACCTCTTCTTCCAGAATTTGAGAAGCCCTGATTAAATATTGCTTCCGTTTCTGTAGCGCTTGTTGTTTTACATGGCAGGGTTGCTTACCCTGCGTAAAACAGCCTAGATCCGGAGGACCAGTGATTTTCTGTTGGGGTTTTCCTTCCCCTAGTCACAGATTCCAGTTTTTAAGGGCGCTGTAGACTCGCCTTTTGACACTGTCACTCCTACCTAAGTATTTCCAGGGCCATCCCGGGGAGTTGTGACATGGACTTCATGACAGAACCTTTTTGAGATGATGGGCATTAACTAAAGGTTTTGATGGTGTAACTTTGTGACATCAGTGCACCCCTCGAGACCTTCACCACCCTTTCGCCCAGCCTTTTATATTAATGGACCTGCCTTAAATATCCAGCAGAAAATGTTCATCGATTGGTTGATTGATTGTATATTGTTTAACGTCCCTCTCGAGAATTTTTCACTCGTACGGAGACGCCACCACTTGCCGTTGGAGAGCTTCATATTTTGTCCTATGCTCGGCACTCAGGGCCATTGAGCAGGGAGGGATCTTTTTCGTGCCAGCACCTACTGCGACACGGGACCTCGGTTTATACGGTCTCATTCGAAGGACCGGTCTCCACGTCCCACACTGGAATTCGAAACCGCGACGTAAGGATTGACTCCTTACTTCGTGACTCTGGAGCAGACGCTCTAACCACTGCGCCACGCGGGCGACAAAATGTTCATCGAAAGAATGGCTGTCCCCACTTAAATTGTAGCATAACTAAATCATAGTTAATTAGAATGCATTGATAAAATCTGGTTGTGAAAGGAACCTACACCACCACCACCACCTACCCCCGGGTGAACCTTGTGTCTTAATATATGCAGAAATGTGTTGTTTCTTTTTTTAATTCACCGAGTTGATGTATTTCTTTTAACGAGTGTTTTTTTTTTCAGTTGGAATTACCAACTTTAAAGTTGGAAAAGCAAAGATTAACGTTGGAAAAGCCTAGAATAAAGTTGGATTGATTGTACATGTATATTGTTTAACGTCCCTCTCGAGAATTTTTCACTCATATGGAGACGCCACTACTTGCCGGTGGTGACCTGCAAATTTTGTCCTATACTTGGCACTCAGGGCCATTGATCAGGGAGGGATCTTTTTGTGCCAGCACCCATTGCGACACGGGACCTCGATTTATACGGTCTCATCCGAAGGACCGGTCTCCACTTCCCACACTGGGATTTGAACCCACAACATAAGGATCAACTCCTTACTTCGCGACTCTAGAGCAGATGCTCTAACCACTGCGCCACGCGGGCGACGAAGAATGTTGGAAAGCCAACTTTTAAGTTGGAAAAGCGAAGATTAAAGTAAGAAAAACCAGTCTAAAAATATGACGTGGCACTAATGCGATTCGGTAGTTTTATGTTCTTATGAATTCCTCATATTGTGTTCAAAAAAAGTTATAATACCTGTAGACATCTATGATATTCCGATATGATGCGTCGTATTCCCGTCCTCAGGTGGAACCTCCTTCAATGGTTGTTTCGGCGCTGTCCACTACAACCTCCAGAGGTACGCCGACTGGAGTGATCAAGTCCCATCCCGAAACCACTCAGCTCTCCGCCTTTACTGCAACACATTAAATGTTCATTCTCACGCAAACACACAGAGTCTTAGTGATGCGGTTTCCATTGTTCTTCTCTTTTCTTCCATATCCACATGGATGCCACTTCTTCCTCTCTGCCCAGGCGTCCAATGAGTTGCCGTCTCTCAGTTCCTGTTACACCGACAATCTGCAAGGCCCTTCACAGAGATTATCCTACAAAAACATGGCATCCAACTTCAATGGGAGACATAACACTCTCCAGCCCCATTGTTGACAATCTGCCAGCAGATCCTGGTACTTATATATTTTTCGTACAAGGGCTTCTTAAATTCTGTCAACCCACGGCACTGTAATATCCAGCATTATAACAAGCCGGGCTCCGGTAAACCAAATAACAATATCTGGTCTCTGATTGGTAGATGTTACTAGTATTTCCTGTGGAAAATGCATTCGGCTGTTGAGTTCTGCTTGCATTTCCCAGTCACCCCCCCCCCCCCAGCACGACTGTTTACAAACTTTACAAAGTTTACAAACTTCAAGCCTTCCTTGGTCCTCCGAGGCTTCTTCCTTGCTTTCTCTGGCACGTCTGCAATAACAGATAGAACTTTGTCATATCTCCATGTATATCTTCCACCTATTCAAGTTACTGAAACGAAGACAGAATATGTTCCCGGTTGGCTGGGGTACCACAAAGATTGCAGTTTGGATCCTCCCTCATGCCCCACCTTGACAGATTGGTTGGGTTGGCAACACATCATAAACTGACTGGAGCTGAAACTGCAGTCTCTGGGGCTCTGTTTTCCAGATCTCGTTTCAACATAACTTCTTCTGTTGGGCACCTTCCCAGTTTAACTAGCTTCCCTGCTACTTCATAACAACTCCCTTCACCATTCTTGTGTGCTCTTCCATTTTGCGCACTTCTTTCTGCACCAGTTGCCTCTTCTCCGCTTTCGACGATGTACCCCATTTTGTCGATAGTATCATTCCTATTCCCTGCCTGCCTACAGCCACACTTCCCACAATGTCGGCTTATCTCCGGCGTGACTCTGCCTCCTGCATTGTATTCTTTGTAGACCACTTTCTGCCAATCTTGATGTTCACTCTTGCCACCCGTATCTTGGAATCACTACTGTCGCGTAACATCAGATACTGCCTGACCTTGGTGACCTTGAATTCCTCAAAGATTGACGTCAGTGGTAGTTGCAGCTTTGTTCCTGCTAAAGCTTCTGGGAACCGCGAGCCATCTTCTAAGATACCCACTGGTCCGTCTCTCCTTCGATTCAACTGCTGTCACTGGCACATCATACACAAGTAGATGCCGAAGAATTCGTGGAAGAACGCCGTGCTGGTGTATCCATGCCTTGTATTTTCCTGGTAAGGCACTTTTGTCTATGGTGTGTTCATCACTTCTCAAGTTGATTACTGGTGTCCCTAACATTCTGTTTATCACTCAGTGTATTATCAAAAAACTTGACTTGTTTTTCTGAGACTGATGGGATAATCTCATCTCCAACCCTGAACTTTTCTCCTATGATTTTCCCCTTTTTATACGAGGCTCCTCGACGTCGTTGGCTTGATCTTCATACGAGTCCGACTTATGATATCCTATATCTCCCTCAAGGTCCACATTGCCTCTATGATGGTCTTTGTGCTTATTGTCATATCGTCCATGAAAGCTCGAACAGGGGGCTGTCTCGGGCCTGCCTTCATCCATGGACCTCTGCTCATCTTCTCCACCTACTTTACCATCACATTCATGGCTGCAGAGAACAGAATTACTGAAACTGTACAGCCTGTGACAATCCCAACTTCTAGGCGTTGCCACGATGTTGTGAAGTCCTGAGTAGTGAACCGTAATTGAAGCCTGTCAAAATAACTCTTGAGTAGCGTCTGTATCCTGTCTGGTATATGGTAGCACTGTAGGGTAAGTTGGACTAACTTATGAGGCATGGAATCATAAGCATTGGATAGATCCAATCATATTACTGCCAGTTCTCCTTTCATCTCTTTCGCTTCCCGTATAATCTCTGTTAGAACTCTTGTATACTCTACACACCCCGAGACTCCTGGCACTCCTCCTTTCTGCACAGCTATATGTCTCAGTACTTGAGAGACAGCATATATGCTGTCATATAGTAATAATTATAAGTTGAGCGAATACAAGATAAGCTTAATTTGAGTGTTTGAAGCAAAACAATATACCTGTAGTCGGGTTGAAACTGAGAAGTTTCATGGAAATCAGTTTTCAAAATTTAAGATATATTCGATGAAAATTTAAAATAAAAAAAAATAGATGTAATGGGTTTTGAGTCTTGAAATTATAAATTTTAAATTTTTGACTTCCATATACATGTAGTAATGTTTTGGACTACAGTATGTCTTGATATTGAAATGGCACCACTTGCAGTGAGTGGTCTTGTCAACACCTCGGTTTATATGTATGGCCTCATCCGATTGACGGTCTCCACGTCCCGCAGTGAGATTTGAACTAGCTGCAGAACTGTAGCTCTCCGAAAAAAATATTTTGACAGACCGGAGAGCTACAGTGCCACCCATTGAAAAAACTGTATATTTATTGCGCACAAAAAAGTGCGCTGTTTCTCGATTTATTTCTCCATGTTTTTAAACTGTCATCTCAAAATATTACTAACTGTATGTTAATAACATATTATTTCACCGATTCCACAACAAAACATCCCTTATAAGTCACAGTTGTTAAAAGCCCTCCTGACCCTGAAATTAAGATCATCAAAGATTCCGTCTGTTTATACTGCCATTTTGGTTTGCAAGATAATTCGGTCCAGCAAGCTTCGTGCAGATGTCGACTATGAGAATACTTGACAGAAGAGTAATGATTTTTTTTAAAAATTTATCTTTTTTACAATTGAGAGTAGAATTTTGAACAGAACTAAGCGCAACTTTTTGTGCGCAATAAATATACAGTTTTTTCAATGGGTAGCACTGTAGCTCCCCGGTCTGTCAATATATTTTTTTCGGGGAGCTACTGTTCTGCTTTGAACCTGCAACTCCTTTCTCTATGATGCATAGATCTAGTGCATACACTCTTACTTAACTGCATACCCGCATCATGGGCATATGTAGGAAACAATTTCATTGGGAGGGAGGGCACTAATCAACAACCAAACAAATGCATATAGTAACTGTTTTCTCTATAGCACTCTTTAGAATCGGCAAAATTACTGGCCCCCCCCCCCCCCCCCGCCTTCCCCGCTTCGCACTGCGCCGACTTGTTACACAAATCGTTGAAATAGACCGATGAACCGTTTTTATCCGGATATAAATATTTCCTTCATTTTACCTCCGCATATGCGCAACATTTTCTAGCCGGACCTCGACGGAGGAGGTGGGGGAAACATATTGGGAAATAATAAATAGGATTAATGTTGGTTTTGAACCCGATTCTTGTTATAATCTTTAGATATCATATGTTTCACTGTTTTTATTCTTCTTTTCTAGATCCAGCGTGTTACTTGAAGACAGTTTCAGGGCGTTTGAAGGGAACATATTGGGATTGAATTCCCTTGGCGAACGCCAGATATATTTTCACCTTTCTTTATTCGTTGTGATCGGTTTTATGACGGTTTTGAGAAGAGACGGTAAGAATTTACAATTTTGAAGTTATATCGACAGTTTTCATTTTATGATTTTTATGTCGTCAAGGTCACCAGCCGTATCACTTGCTATGTCGCGCCATTATTGGCATGTTGCCACAGTTAGAACACGTGGACCAAAAATGGGAAGGTCCCGACATGTAAAGGTTACATCGATTTTCCACGTAACAAATTTACCATATGGGGAATTTTTTCGAACATATATTTGAAAGTCGAGAATAAATTTTTGTGAATATTCAGAATTAGTGATTAAAACAGAAATAAAGTACCTCACTATTATTATCTGTTGGTTATTTAGAAAAAAGTTTCAAAAAAAGATCCAATATTTTCTAGTATTTGTGTTGATGAGATGAACATATGTAAGTAAATTACTTCGTATTTAAAATTTTATAATCATACAAAATTCTTTACAATATATTTATAATGAAATAAATTTTAATTCTATTCCAGGGCCATTGCCGTGGCAGCCAGGAAGTATAGAAACTATAAACTTTCAGAAGACTATTAGACCTATACAGGGGTTTATGAATTTCCCACAGTACAGTTACTCATTTCATACTGGGAGTGGACTTCACCGAAAACACAAAACAAGCAGTAGGAATTGTACAGGGAACCGGTCAAAATGGCCACAATTAACATCAACAGCGAGGTCACTGACCAATTCTACCGCTATAAGATGCCTAGGCTCATAGCCAAGGTCTGTATAGCAGTAGCAGAGGAAATATTTGATACAAATTGATTATTTAGTTCTGCAGAAGAAAAAAACTATCTTAGTATGGAATTTATTTTTTGATATTCAAGTAAAAGATGGAGATGAAAAGCCTTGTTTTGCAAAATACCAATATATAGATCTGTACCTCTTGTATGATTTGTCGTTTCATTCTTGAAGTAATTTTTCCATTTTTTTTTTCCAGGTTGAGGGTAAAGGGAATGGGATTAAAACTGTAATTGTGAACATGCCTGAAATAGCAAAGGCATTATCAAGGCCACCAACATGTAAGATTCCAAGCAAAAATTATTATATATTAAAAAATGATTTATTTTCTAAGGAAGTGAATGTTCAAGTTTCTTATTCAATGGTTCCATTTTTATGATATTAATATTTATATTCATTGTTTTAAAACCTAAAATGAAATATCTACACAGATCCAACGAAGTATTTTGGATGTGAATTAGGAGCACAAACCATGTTTGACTTTAAAAATGAACGCTTCATTGTCAATGGTTCTCATGATCCCAGCAAGCTTCAGTCGCTTTTAGATGGTTTCATCAAACGTTTTGTACTGTGTCCTGAGTGTTCCAACCCAGAAACACAACTGGTAAGATATTTATGTCATTTGTGTTGTAATTTATGTACTGATCAAGGTTCAAGTACTTTGCCTTATTGCTTAAATGACTTATTTTACTGACAAGACAACTGAGCAACACAATCTATTGTAAACATATTAGACAGTAGTGTATATTTATATAATATGAAAAACAATAATGCAGCAGAATTTTTCAAAGTTGATCCAGAAATGTTATGGTCTTGATGCAACTTGTTGATTAACTATCTGGTAAGGAAGTATTGACAGAAAATAAAACTATAGTAAACCGCTCGCAAACAAAAGTACTTATTTTGTATTATAGACTGTATTTGCAAAGAAAGGGACCATTTCTCAACGCTGCATTGCTTGTGGCTATACAGGGATGGTTGATATGCGGCACAAACTGACCACTTTCATCCTGAAAAATCCTCCAGATCAGGTAATTAAAACCAAGTAACAAGTAAGCTGCAATCTGTTTAAATTTCATGTGGATATGAATTTGCATGAAAGAAAAATCATGCCAAAAAAGATAAGATGCCAAACTTAATTTTCATTGAGCAGAATCTTTTTTATTACATCTATAAATACATTCATGGATTCATATAATGAGGGATGTAATTTGTATACATCTAGGATCCAGCTGCTACTCCCACCAAGCAGACCAAGAAGGACAAGAAGAATAAGAAGGCAGTGAATGGAGAGAAGAAGGATGATAGAGCCAGTCCAGAGGCTAACGCTCAGGAACAGATGGCTCAGCAGAGGGCCAGTGGGGGTGTGGTCGACGCTCCCCCTGTTGTGGTTAGTATAGAGTCGTTTATCTAAAGTGATTGCAGTTTTTTTTTGTCTTTTTGAATGCTACTAGATATTGGAAATTCTAGGTTAAAAGTCTGATGAAATTGTGTATTTTAGAGTTCAAGCACTTATAACTATGTTACAATTTGTTTACTGAATTTGTTGACTGATGTTTCAGGAGACCAATAAGGATGAGAATGATGATGATTGGGGTGAGGATTTCAGCGAAGAAGCAGTGAGAGAGAGGATGCAGGAACTCAGTATAGCCGCTAAACAGATGGCCTTCACTGATGACTTGGAGAAAACACAGGAAGAAAGGCTCAACATGTTCTACAAGTTTGTTGAGGTAAAAAAAAAAGTAACAAACATATCGATTAATCTTTTGATTAATGTGAAATGTTTGTTTGCTTGGGTGTTTGATCTTTTATCTGTTACAAAGATTTGATTTGCTTTGTTATTTATTAGCATAACTGCTTCTGTATTTTTAGTTGAAGCGTGAGACATTTTCAACAGGAGGAGATAAGGAAGTCGTGGCAGAGGCTGAGCGATTAGAGATCAAGGACAAGGCACCTCTGATACTCGTAGAGGTCCTATTGGATGTGAAAATCCTTCCACAGCTGAAGCAATATCGCAATCTCTTCTTAAGGGTGGGTATTACTTAGACATCCTAGCTAACAACATATTTAATTTTAAAAAAACATTCAGAATTCTGTTTATACATTGTTTATGGCTCAATAGGGTGCAGTTGGAAAAAAAGTTTTTGTTAATAAAAAAAAAATAAAAATGAGAAATGAAAAAAAAAGTTTGTTGATCTGATATGTTAATGATTAAAAAAAAAATGAAAATCTTTAATCTTTTGCTTTTCAGTTTTGCCATGAAAATCCTAAAGCTCAGAAGTACATGTTGGGGGGTATTGAACAGCTAGTAGGAAATGTGCACAAAGAGGAATTGCTGCCTAAAGTTCCTCACATCCTCAAAGCTTTGTATGATCTTGATATTATTGATGAGGAAGTCTTATTGGAGTGGGGCAAGAAGGTCAGTGTGATGAATTTTAATTTTGGAAGATTTTTTTCCCTTACCAGTTTAAGATAAGGTTTAAAAAAAAAGATGTACATTTCTTGCACACTAGTATTTGGCCAAAATCATGCATCAATCATTATACTTGCACATTGGGATGTTTATATTTAGGCCTCCAAGAAATATGTTGACAAGAAAATATCAGCCGAGATTCATGAGAAGGCAGCTCCTTTCATCAACTGGTTGAAGGAGGCAGAGGAGGATGATTCTGAAGAGGAGGAGGAGGAGGAAGACCAAGTGGAGGTAAGGCCCATAACTCAGTATAAGACACTATTATAACTTTAAAAACTTGCAATTCCATGTGCAAATATGAAGAGCCTTAAGATGTAAATTCTTTAAATATGTTTAATGTATAATAATGCAAGTATTTAACTTCAAGAGGAGAGATTTTTTTTTACTTATATTTATTTGTAAATCTTCTTAACAGGTGGTTTATTCCAACTTTGAGAAAGTGGGTCAACAGGAAGCCCCCAAGCCAGCGGCCAAGGAAGAACCTTCCGAGGAAGACGAAGAAGACGATTTGGATATCGATGACATCTAAGGATGTTTTACTTGAAAGATACACATTTAGATGTTTATTGTACTCTGCTATCTTTTAGGACTTTTTTTCATTCCATGAAATAAATTGAGCTTTGTGTGATAGCTGAGAGATCAGCAACTGCTGCAGACTCATATGACTCTTCATAAAGTATTTTCTATTTACTTTTTTGTACTCACGGTTAAAGGGAGATCATTAGCTCTATCTGACTAAAAACTAATGTCAGGTTAAATTTAACTATTATTTTTTGTCTTGCTTTCACTATATAAACACAGACAACATTTTGACAACGTTTTAACACCATTGCTTTCTTGTGAATGTGTACATTTAACGATGCAAAAGGTTTGCATTGGTTGAAATATTTGTATCTGTTTGATTCATTTTATGTTGTTGATTAATGATTTTTAAGAATGACAAAATTGCTGATTTATACAAACAAAAAAAAATTCACCATATTTATTTCATCAGTTTTATATGTAGCTGTACCGTCTGTGAATTGCAGTGCTAAATTTTTTTCTCAAGATTTAATTTTTTTCTGTTAGTACATAATTTTCTATTTGTACATGTATATACTTAGAATATTTGCCTCACATCTTTATACATAATCTTTTTCTTGCCGCAAAATATACATATTGATGTGCTTAAGTGTGTCTGTATTCTGCACTGTTATTAACTGTTGTATCTTGATTTTAAAATGAAAAAATATATATATAGAAATTGACTGCTATTAATAAAATTGTATTCTTGATAATTTCATCATTTCATTCCCAGTAAAGGTTCCAAAGTACCAGTATTAAGCCTTTCAATCTTGAGGACTTGAAAAACAGCAAGTTGTTTTGCTCAGAGACACCACATGTATTGATAATAGAAGGAAAATTTATTTGAATTTTTTCTAAAGGTCATTTGACTAAAAGACAGTATGTTTATGTTCCTTCTGGAAGTTGTGATGTTTCTAATTTGATTAAAATTCCTTGAAACTTTTATGTTGCCTTGCAAAGAAGTGGGGTGCTTTTGGTTGGCTTTCAACAGGAATCTGGACACTCTGGGTGCTATTTCCATGAAACAGAAATAAGAAATATTGAATGAGATTCATATGCGGATCTAGAGGGGTCGGGACAGCCCCCCCTCCCTGGAATTTGCAGAGTTATTAAATATACATGTATATACGAAAACAAGTAAAAGTTACCTTGGACCCTCCCTAGAAAACGCGGACCCCTCCTAGAAAACGCAGATTATGTGAAATTGGTATGAAAAGTCATAGGTCTGAAGCTTGAAACTTCATTGAAATTAAAAATTGCAGTTGAAGCGCAGAAAAAAAACTATGATATTTAATCTGTCGCTACAGTATTCAAGAAACGTCACTTGCCGAAATTTTGAATAAAACTGGAGGGAGTTTGACTGTTGTATAGCCATTTATAAATAATCAACGCGTTAAAAAAGCCAAGAATGGGAACGTCATGGAGCACCGAGCTACTGAAAAATTATACGTACAAAAAAAAATCGAAAGAAAGGATGTTTAGAAATTTGAAAAAGCTTAATGGGTTTGAAATCTGCAGGGTCCGCCGTCATAAAACATACTTAAGTCCGAGAACGCTCTCAAATCTGAGAATTTTCTCAAATCGAAAATTCTCAGACTCAGCGACCGTCATAAAAAAGTTGAGAAAAATGTTGAGATTTTTTTTTGAAAATTTTCAAAAGTTTTATGACGGCGGACCCTGGACGTCATATCACTTAACGTCAAGTGATCTCTCCGTGGATCCTATGACCTCATAGTAAAAATTGGTAAATGGATCCTATGACCTCATAGTAAAAATTGGTAAATGGACCTGATTTTTTTTTTTACATACTTATAAACAAAACAGGAAAACATACTTGTAAACAAAATATAGGAATTTAATCAGACATTAGACATACTTCACAGTACACAATAGTTTTTCCGTAAATCTTTCTAACAACCCTCGTATTTATTTACGGAAAAGAGGAGTAAAAAGAAAAAATAATATCGCGTGTCTTGAATTGTAAATACATGTAAACGTTTTGAGTTGGGCCATTTATAGTCAGTCGGTCTGGAGATCGAGGGCAACCAAACTTAAAAAAAAAATGGCCCAATGCCATGAATGCTATACATTAACTTTTTTTTTTACTATACTGCAAAAAATTATTTGGGGGGGGGGGTACTACCCTTCCCCTGTTGCTGCGTGTGTGAGGTAAATCGATAGTTTCTGGGAATTACAACAAAGGATGCGAATACAAGAAAGCTAAATACTTTTTTCATCCATTTAAATATACTTATTATTTCTTTAGCAATGTTCTATTTTAGAAATGATTTTTGTTTTTATCCCCCATGCTTGAAGATTCGGGGGTATACAGTTTTTGCCCTGTCACTTCACTTGTCCGCAAAAAATTTAACATTGCCCAAAAATTTTAATTGTTTTGACATATAGCTTTCATATTTCACTTATGTATTCCTTGTGAGACAACCTTTCACTGGGTGCCAGTAGGGGTTTTATATTTCACTTACATATATTTCTTTTGACAAGACAAGATACAACGCTTGAACATTTATCGGTACAGAACTGTAGCTCTCCGAAAAAAATATTTTGACAGATCTGGCCAAAATTAAGGCAGGTATCCAATGTTGAAAATGATTTAAATGGGCTCTATATGCTTTATGATTATGATATATTTTTCTCCAAATCCAAAAAGCACTTTTTGGCAGTGTTTCGAGCTTCCTTGAGGTATAAGCTGCCATACACGGGGACTTCAGTGTTTCACAACTAAACACATCTCTTTTTTTCTTCAATATAGCATAAACCTTATTTTAAAATTTCCGTAATATTTTATGCTTGCTTTCTGAAAATATTATTTTAACTCGATATAGGAAAGAAAAAAAGATCAAAGGGGAAGGGAACATTATTTTTATTTGAATCTAGGAAAAAATAGAAATATTGAATGAGATTCATGTACGCGGATCTAGAGGGGGGTCTGGGGTCCGGACAGCCCCCCCCCCCCCCCTGGAATTTGGCGAGTTATTAAATATATATACGGAAACAAGTAAAAGTTACCTTGGACCCTCCCTAGAAAACGCGGACCCCTCCTCGAAAACGCAGATTATGTGAAACTGGTATGAAAAGTCATAAGTCTGAAGCTTTGAAAGGCAACGACTAACCCCACCCTTAAAACCCTCGAAATAGGTTTTGCACATTTGAGGAATCAATTTAGGTTTTTTGTGTGTGGGGGGGGGGATGTCAAGAAATTTCTGATTTGGAGTTTTTTTTACACTTGGGTGGAATCCCCCCCCCCCCCGAACAAATTCCTGGATCCGCGCCTGCGATAATAATTATTTTTCAAATTTTATTTCGCAAACTCTTGTATACCTGTGGGTGTCAACATTTCTCAGCAGACATTATTTTAAAAAGTACCAGAGTTTTATAAGTGAAAAAAGTTATTGGAATTTATAAAGTGAAACGCACTTGTTTGTGTTTTTCGTATCCGTTTTTATCCGATTACTCTTATTCTGGAAAAGAAATTTCCACGGATGAGTGACGACGAGAGTTTCTGATCATTCCGCCATGTTATGAGATGAGATGATGATTGGGAGGTGTGAAAAGAACTTTAAATGACAGTCAGCTGTTTACATTTCCATCCTCTTTTAAGTCACACTTATTCACACAATCTATCAAACCAGAAAATTACGATAGTTTGCGCGTAAATTCCTCAAAATCACATTTTAGCAGAGAGAATGTGTCTGTCAACAGCATATTTCTACTCTTGAGGAGTGAACACGTCAACTCGGTCAACTGACTGTCTACCACGAGATTCACAGGTACTGAGGTTTTATATTTGGATGTCTTCAGTTATTTAGTTCCGTGAACACAAACTTGATATTTTCAAGTTATGAGATTCTAACTTTTATTTTGGAAACAAAGTTCGGTATGCAATCATAGACACAAATTTCTGAAGCTGTGTGAAATCAAAGTCATGTTGATGAATATAAATAGACAAGGATGAAACAAACCCTTTTTGATATTACCTGGTACTCAGGTTGGCAAGTTGAAACTGTGTGATGTCACCTGAGTAAAAGCATTATGCACATGAGAAATTGACCATGGCAACAGATCCAATTTGTGGTCTCTGCAGAGAAAATTGTTCAAACCCATAGGAAGGGGGTGCATCATATGCAACATGTTTACACTACTGAAAAATGGTGCAATGCAATTGTGGTGTGCTGCCTGAAGGCCATGTGCCCCCTCCCATTTTTCCCTGCTAAATGGGGGAATGCATGATTTAAAAAAAATTCTAGTTTGTAGAAACATCATCAAACCAAGTGCTATCAAAATTCTTCATTGAAGAATATCAGTGATGTATCATCTGTAATGGGCGGTTGCCCAATAGTCCCAGAATCAATTAACAGGAATCGATTTCAGTTTTAACCGTTTATTTAATTACAATAATAAACATCTATAACAATGATAACAATGCTTACAGGTCAAATATAGACCGCTCTCTCCTCTAAACACGTTCACTTTCTTCAGTATAAAAATCAGCACACCTCAAAATTACAACAGTCGTCAGTAATAATACCGTCGGGCTAACCCGGGCCGGGACGTACTGTGACGTCATACTCATAACATAAAAAATGACGTTTAGCGCACAATCAATAGAACAATAAGTATTACGCTAACAAAATAGCAATAGGTATATTTTATACATAATAAACATTAGTGATGGAACGATTGTCGGCGACAATCGATTGTCGGTCGTTAGAAGCTCTTCGATGCTACTAATCGATTATAAAATAAATGTCGCCGACATCGCTAACAAAAAATAAAATTGTCATACTTTAATTTTAATACCAAATCCAAGTGCAAAGAGCATAAAAGTAGTGATGAATGTTGAAAACATGGAAGGATCCCGTGTCTTGTTGATACTTTTACCGCCATGATTAAATATGGGGTTAGACTAATACCAGGAAACGGTAATATTGCAAGTAAAGGAAAACATAATTAATCTAGTCAATCTTTAAACGTAATTATAATCATAAATACAAGTCTAACTTTTGGATAATTACTTTTAAAACTTGCAATTTTAACTAATTAAAACTAATTTTAAGAAATAAATATGTAGATATATTAATGAAAGGTGGGACTAATATCAGTAAAATACCCATTGCATGGACTTTACAAAAAATAAATATACTCATTCTGTTTCAATAGTCCTATATTGTTTAAAGTAAACAAAATATTATTTTCCAGTTTTTAAAAAAGAAATTTCAATTAACATTTTGGAATATTTAATGTAAGTAAATGTTTCTTTTGTAAAAGTCTGACAGAAATCTGAATAAGTTTTAACTTTTCTGTATTAATTTCATTAAAGTTCAAAATTTCGATTATAATCGATTATTAATCGATTATGCCCAGCCGATTATTACCGATAATCGATTATGATTTTTTTCCGATTCCCCATCACTAATAAACATAGACTTATGCTAATTTAATATCAGTCAATGTACAAAAGTAATAATCAATTACTGGAATATTAATTAATAAATATTCAATAAAGATCTCAACCGTCACACATCTAATAAAATCTGAACCACCATTCAACATATTGACATCCACTCATGACAAAAAATGAAATTACATCTCATGTGGTTCATATGTGGGTAGTTACAAATATCACATGCATGAAAATAAAGCCTTATAATGAAATACCATATCATCAAAGTTTACTCCTCTTGTCCCTTGATCTCTAAATTGTTTTTTTTTTTTTTTGTTTTTTACGTTAGTGCATTTGGTTTACCTGAATGAAGTTTCTCTGAATAATTGCTGTTTAAGTCACTGTAAGATATATCAAATGATTTGTGAAGTTCTTAGAAAAATTTCCAAATTCAAACGGATTAGTTTCATGAAAGTATGGAATAATCTTGAGTAATAGAATTACATCTACATGTATTTGTTGTATATATCTTATTAAATAAGCTTTTTTGATTCAGTCATTCTGCATGGCAACAGAGAGTTTTAATGGTTTTCCAAGTTTCCATGAATATTTTAATTTTGCAACCTGAATGAAATTTACCGGTAATTATTAACACGAATTACCAAACCAAAAAAAATCTATCCTAAGAATTTTTTTTCGCATGTTTGTTGTATACACATGAGGTGTCCTTAAGACACATGTTCCTTTTGCATTGAAAATCTTTCTTAAAAGTTGCATTGTGTACTCTGCCAGTAGCTCTTAACTAACTTGTTTTACCTTGAATGCCTTATGCTTGCTTATTAACATTTTAGGGAATGTGTTACTGATAGATAACCAGGGAAGAAGAGACAAGAAGTGTACAAGTCATGGATGAAGACGAACGGTATTGACTGTTTTCTTTTCGATCTACTAACAATTAATCTCATGCCAAATATACTTGACATCACAGATGTTGTGTTCACACATGTTTGGAATGTAATGCATTTATACATGATTTGTATTGAATTTTTCACTATTGTCAGAGTGTGACAAACATGTTGTTGCATTTGACAATAAGGCATTAGTGGTATGGATATTTGTGAAATCCTTAAGAGGTAAACATTTAATTGATACTTGTAGATTATGTCTTCCATTGAAATCTTCATTTTATAGATTTAATGTGCACAGTTAAGTACCAAGTTATCAAATCATTACTGTATACAGGGAAATTTTTGCCCCCGTTTTATTTTCGTCCCTTTCGTCCTTCCCTTATTTGGGCGAATTTAAAATGGGGCGAATTCGAAGAATATAGTATAAATAGAGGATATTCAATGTTTTGTAGTTGAAAATGGAATTTATTTCACGAGTGGGACAGGATTTTTGATATTTTCACGAGTGCGAAGCACGAGTGAAAATATCAAAAAATCCTGTCTCACGAGAGAAATAAATTCCATATTCATCTACAAAACATTGAATTTTCTGTTCATTACATTTTTAAAAAAATTCTTTGATTTTTCTTTTGCATCTGTCTTTTTGTAATACAGTCATAGGCTCATGACATCATAGTTGAGCGGTTGAGACGTCATAGCTAAGTGAGGTGAAAACACTGTAAACATGGATTTAGCAACATATTTTTGGTAATTTTGACAGTTTTATTCGATGTCAGAATTGTTTATTTATTTCCATCTGTCTTAAATTAGCTCAAGAAAGATTTTTTTACAGCAATCTTCGTTATGGGAAGGGAAATCGAGAGTTTTCCCGCACTTCTGATATTCGTCACACCATGAGAGGATATCATTTTGCATTATTCAATGAATAAATTACAGTATTTCACGAGTAAAAATGTAATAATTTCTTAAACAAAACTATAACTGGGTGAATTTAAAATGTCACAAAATTGTTTGCTAGTTTGAAAGGGCGAAAATAACATGGGGCAAAAATAACTCTGTATACAGTAATCTTTGTAGTTCTATAGTCTCCCGTGTTAGCAAGGCTCCATAGCCTATCTTAAATGTTAATTTTATTCAGTGTATTCCTGGTTCTTTTATATTATTTGGAGGTTACAGTCTTCTGCAAACTCTCATTATTAGAATTATTCAGAATTGTCACTGAAAAAAGTTGATTTCTATAATTGAACAAATTATTGTGTTATAATTAAATCTTGATATGAATCTGAAAATCTTTTGTATTTTAGTCTTGATAATTCAGAGTCTACCACTGATGAAGACAACAAACCATCACAAAAACATGTCTGTCATTACTAGATATTGTGGATCTCATAAACCCAGTGTTACTAGAATTTTATTCATGAACAAAAATGTTTTAAACATTACTGAAAATTTTTAACACCATTACCAAACACTTTTATTCTGTATGATCATATCCACAACAGTGCTGATTTTCAGTTGTGACAATTGCAACATCTTCAAATCAGATGTGATCGTCTTGGTGCAATTTTATTTAATGATACTTATGTAGAAGATGTCACTTAGGATTGATTATTTGTTTTTTTCTTACATCAATCTGTCCAGTACAATAGCTTTTATGTTTCCCTTATTCGTTTTTGTGTGTCATTGTCATTATTTTAACTATGATAATGTTTGGTGTGTAGGTTTGAGTAAGTGAAAGTGAATACAGGTCAGGTAACAGACTGTCTCTTTATATAAGTTAGGCAAGGGTCATCTGTATGCCTTAGGTGATATCTCAAATGAAAATTTAATTAAATTTCGATTTTTTTGTTTTTTGGTTTTGAAAAAATAATGGCAATGAAAACATAGTTATTGATTAGATTGAAAGTTTACTGAATTAACTGTGGAAGAAAGTTAAATTTTAATTGCAATTGGGAATTTGGGATGAAATTAAATATTCACAGACCAATGCTCAGTTAATGTCTTCATTGAGGACTCATTGTCTTGTACAGTAATAACTGATTAACCAGAAATATGTTTTAATACAAAGACATTTGTAAAATGAAGTCAGTCATTCATTACATTGACCTTCTTCAACATAGTTTTACATCAAAATTGAAAAAAAAATCTCAGAATAGTTTATAATTGCAAATGTCCTCCAAGGTAAAAAAAAAAAAAAAAAGTTGTAAGTGAATTTTCATTAAAATTATTTTTAAATTTTCAAAATGACCTTTACAGGTCAATAAATCTGAAAATGCCATATCATTGATTTTTGTTCGACAATTATTCCCAAAAACTTAAATTTATTTTTGCCAATTTATTGTTTACTGACGGAAACCATGTGTTCAATGTCTTTTCCCAAACACAGTTGATATTGACAATAAGATTTACACCATTCAGACATGCTTCATTTCAGTTCTAGTACATAAGACTGAATATATATAAATGATTTTTTCTTTTATTTCCTGAACAACCAACCATAAACCAATTTTATTATATTTACAATATTTGAACAGAAGATTTTCTGCAAATATTTTCCTACTTTATCATGTTTATCAAAAAATATTTATGTAGAAGGTTTTTGTTGATTATTCCTTGTAATAGTCATTTTGAGTTAATTATAGATACATTTTATGTAGAATGTCAACATTTTAAATGGCTTTGAGGAGCATTTAATGGTATTTCTCTTGGTACCATTTATCCCTTCCATCATATTTCTTCCATGAATACAGGCTATGAATGTCAACAATTGTCTACCTATTGAGAATGCAAACAAATGACTTTTCAAAAACACAGGTTCTATCAAGGAATCCTGATATACTCAATACAAACCAAAGGTAATTTATGGTTAAAAATTACTAGTAAAATGAACTTGATTCTTATAATAAATACTTAGAAAGTAATAAATATTGTAGCAATGTACACAATTATGTCTGTAATATATTATGGCAGCATTGTTCTCAAAAAAATCTGCCATGCTAAGTATACAGTTAAAACACAGTTATTTCTCTTTTTGGAGATGTTATGTTCATAAATTATGAAGAAGGGTGACATCAATGTAAGCATGCATCAGGCCAGTCTCGGATCAATAGCCGCAAAAATCAATAGCTCATTTCAACATGCTGGGGAGAAAAGCCAATGAAATTCCTATATTGATCATATATAGTGCAGGATTAATCCATATTGAATAATGAAAGGGTTGAGTCTGGCCAGATTGCTTTTGTTTTTTGGCTATTCCAGGCTTGTTGTGTGATTGTTAATTTAGTCCTCGCAGTCCAGATTTGTGATGCGAGGTTTGATAGAGGAATGAAGGTTGTCCTACTAGGATAGACACTTGTTGAAGTCATAGTCATTAGCCTTAGACCCCTTTAAATAATGGACTTGACTAGTTTGGTGGAGGATTTGTATCATGGAGGATTTTTGTCCGAGAAACAACAAGTGTCCGGGATTTTAGATTTGCCTTACAAAATGGAGACAGACACTGTGAAGGCCTATAGAATGTAAGTGGGGTCAGGTCTAATTTTGGGGGGAGTTCTGTGGTTTATTTGAGCTGAGTAGTGAATAGACTTTCTAGCATATATTATGATTGGGATGATGTCATCAGATGCTGGGACAGTATAACAGACTCTGAATAAATAATTTTGTGTTTATGAAATGGGGTAATGGTATATTTTTGGTGTTTTTAAGAGAGGTTTTCTGGATTTTAAATGATTTTGCAAAAATTATAGCTTTAATATCTGAGTGAGTCACAAACTGGGTTTTCCTCATCTACCTATCTTTATCAAATTCTGGGTCTGTGTTCAGTGATTTTAACATGTACTTTCAATTAATCTAAAATAAAAGAAAAGTCAAAGCTTGTTACATCAAACTTCATGGGACCAAGAAAAAAAAACTTGGGGATAACCCAAAAATTCAAGATCCTGAGGTTAAAATACATGCAAAAAAAGTACAGTAGTTGGGACTTTCATCTGACCATAAAGTACTCTTGGTATTTGAGATGAACAAAGTTCAACTTGTCCGTAGTTATACAGGCATGATTTTTACCTCTTTCTTCTCTTATATCTTTTTGCAGTATTTTAATATACCATGTACTAGTAAAAAGAATTTTGAATGGCCATTGGATGGGATATTCATTAATTAATTTGATACTTGTCTGAATAAAATTCTACAATTTCTTTTCTTTTGTATTTCATTTTTGTAATTTTTTTGTAAACAATCCCATCTAAGTACTAATTAAGTCTTTATTTTTAATATGATAAACATTAGACTAGCTTGAGTCCATGTATGAAGATTCTAGAAAAGGAATCACCAGGAACTTTTTCTTGCATGTCTCTATGTTATGATTTAATTGTGACAGTCATAAAAATTAAGACAAGGAAAATTTGTAATTGTGTAAATTAATTATTTTACGAGCATGGTTATACTGGAATAACCAAAAGTACGCTGAGATGATGACAAGATAGTTATATTCAACAGTAATGATCAATATCAATTTCATTTAATGAGGCTAGCTGTAATGTACATGTATCACTTTTTTCCCCTTTTTCTTCTGTTTTTTTTTTTCTTAGCAAAATAAATCTGAAATTAAAATGACAAGAACATGACATTGTATGTGAGTGGAAAGAAATTTTATGTGAATTACTTTCCAGTAACATGCAAAACATTTTCCAGGGCAGGAGAGAATTTAAACGAAGCTTAATGTACTTCTGTATTTAGTGTTTAATACATGTATCACAATGGAGTGGTACTGAAAATGTTCTGCTATTTTCTTAAAGTGACTTGATGTCATAATACACCTTTTCTCAAACATCAGTGTATTCTATGTGTGTATTTCTGTCAGTACAACTGAAACCTGAACACATCCTACATAGGCTCAAATTAAACAATTGTATTGATTTATCTGTAATGTGGTTGATGCAGCCTTCTTCACAATCTTTAATTCTGTAATTATGGGTTTCCTTCCATTGTATTTGTTATTTGACCTGGCTATTTGTAAAACCTCAGATGAAATGGAAGTATTAGTCCATGGTTTAAGATTGATATAGACTTGATATGGTGATACATGTAGTTAAGTTGAATACTATAATTATTAAAAAGAAGAAACCTTTGATGATGTGAAAACCTTGACAACATTTATGAATTACAAGTAAATTAAGTTTCCACTCGTCATGTTCCAAAATTATCAAACTTTTAACCCATCAATATTACTATGTTTACAGTGTAATTTAAGCATTGCTTACCAGTTACCACAAGATTTATTTAGAAAAAGGATATTATTGTTTTTGCATCAAAGAAAATGTTTTCTGTAGCATGAAAAAGAGGGCAAAGAATCATTTAATTTATTGTGCAATGATATGCTTTGCCTTCAGAAATGAACCACACTGCTAATCTTTTAATTATATAATTTTGTGAAGGTTTAAGTATTTGTGTTCATTGTTTTGTTGCAGTAAGAAGATAGAGGAGGGTTTAAGTTTAACTGTTTGTTGTTTTTGTTGCAGTAAGAAGATAGAGGAGATTGGGAAGATGACGTCCCTCTCCCAGGAAGAGATCATCAGTGGTACAAAGACGATAATGCAAGGCCTGGACACGCTGAAAAATGAACATCACCAGATTCTTAATGGACTGCTCTCCTCCATGAAAACCATCAAGAAAGAAAATGAAGATACAAATCTGATGGAGGAGAAGACTAATCGCCTCAAAAAGTCACTGGAGACCATAGAACTAGGCCTCAGTGAAGCACAGGTAAAGGGGGGGGGGGGAGATGTGTGAATACAGAAAACTGTAAATTGATAGAAATGTAGAAACAAAAAACAAAAATTGTAAGCTGCTCTGGTTCAACAACATCTAGATCTCATTATGGTAGCTAGTTCCCGGAAAACTGGATCAATATTGGAATATAACCACCACTAGGACCTGATGGTTAGAAATTACAAAGAACAAAATACATGACCATTAATATATTTGTTGTGAAATCTTTACATGCGCTACCAGCATGGTCTTCAGAAGTTTCCATTTCCTTTATGTCGTAGAAGATTGCAAAGGTGAATGGTCTACCAGACTGAAATTTGACCGATAATGTATTGATGAGGGTTTGGGGTAGATGGTTTCTGCAATTAAGGGTTGGATCTCTTTGAAGGTTTAGTTCTTTCCAATCTCTCTGTATTCTGGAAATCTGTTTGAATTACAGCAGATCAAACACTACTTAATGAATAACCCCCACATTGACATTCTGTAAGTTATTGTGCAGTGGCTGCCTGGCATTGTTTTGTATTGGTCTGTTATTGCTGCACTGCTCCAAATACCAGTGTCGATTATGTTATAGAAGTGAGATCAATATCTCAGAAGAAAATTTTATATTCTAAATAATGAATATTCATTTCTCATTTTTATCTGTATGAGATAATCTAATTTGACATTTGAGCATTTCTCTCCCCCACATGTTCTCGTATATTAATGTTTAATATCAATGATGAAAGATTCAGACTTGAAAAAAGAATGCATGTTACAGTTACATTGTTGTATTAGCATCTCCTTTGATGGTTGCTGCAGTCTGGATTTAGCATTCAATAGATCGATGTTTAACTTTAGAAATTAATAACCATTCTCTGTAACCACTTAAACTTCGTTGCCACGCATGGTCACCGATTTTGATGAAACTTCACCCATGCTTAGTACTTGACACCAGAAACAAATATCAAACAAAATTTCGTTGCTAAGTGTCTCGGTTGCTATGGCAACAGCCGGAAAAGTTTGAAAAATCGAGATTTTCAGCCACTTTAAATCTTGACTGTGGCTTAATAAAAACTAGAAAAAGCAAACAAACCATTCTCACAAAAACATGACACCTTGATGTTACTTATACTGTAAAGAAACTGTTTAGAATATATCTCTAAGTAAGTGGTAACCAAGGGTACATTTGGAATACATTCAAAATGCTGAAATATGCTGAAAAACACTCCATATTCACTAATGGTAGGTGTTACATGCTCAAACTCAATCAACGACTTAAGAAAAACAATGAAAATGTTTGACCTTAAGTATATAAGTATAAGCAATATTATTCTATAAATAACTTTAATGGTTGCCATGGTAACATAGTGTAACCATGCAAAACCAGTAACTAAGATTGGGTTAATGCTACTGTCTTGAGGAAAAACATGAAAATTTAAGACTGGCAAATATACATCCTTAGGACCTTGCAACACCAAAACAATAAGAAATATTGGGTATAATTGCTACTTTGCAGTGTTACCATGGAAACAAAGTACCAGTGCTTAAAAGTGAATTATTATTCGCTGCATTAAGAATCAAATTGCCATATAATCAAGAAACAAATTAAAGGACTCAGCTTGAATAGTACTTATCTGTTAGAACTGAAGTTGAATATCATATATTGATAAAACTTGACGAAGAAAACAACACTGTTGCTATGGTTACCAAGAAGGGAAAATGTTCGATTTTGTGAACTTTATATCAATATTAAACCCTGTGTGCCAGCTTCTTGCAGTCATTTAGAGATTGGATGATAGTCAAAATTAAAAGTCAGGTTAGCTGTTAATAAATATCAATCATAAAAGTTTTGGGAATCTACATTTGAGGGTACGTATCCAAGGTAACAAAATATTTTTCAGATTTTTAAGCATATTTTTTCTTCTTATTTCCATAGCAACGCTCTATTTAAAGAATCCGATCTAAATTTTTTTAAATGGGAAAATAAGGACCACACCAACATCTTTAAAAATTGATCATTAGTTATGAGGAAATGTGCTTTCTTAAATGATAGGATCAGATTTAAACATACAGAGTGTAAATTTGAAGGCTCTCTGTTGTATAAAAACCTTGGCAACCATTGCCAACCAAACTGAAATATCATAATTTGTTCTTGGTATATGTTTCAAGGCTCTTTTCTCTATTATTTGATCACATTTCATCCTATAATTGCTTTTTATTTTTACGTGTATGACTTTATAAAATTCAATGAATATTTTTTTTTACTTTTTAATAATTTGTTACCATAGTAACGTATGTAATAGTTGATTTACCAAACCTGGTTATCATGCATTTGAGGCAACAGGCCTTCAACTTTTGGAAACAGTCAATGCCAATTGTTTGCTTTGCCGCAAATGTTAATTTTGGGGCTCCAAACATGGTAAAAAATGTCATTTTTTAAACTTTTAGACATGTTGCCATGGTAACTATAACACATAGCAACTAATTTTTGCCTGATTTTAGTTAAGGGTATCAAAGACTTTTATCATAGAGAGTTTGGAGAAATTCTGAGACTATGCGTGCCACAGCTCCTATATAAAATTTCAAGTCATTACAGAGAATGGCTCTTAACCTGTAGACAAGACAGGGTCGTGACTTTTCAGTGCCATAAGAAAGAATCACAGTGTCTTATTTCTCATAATATATGATAAGTAGTGAACCTTGGAAGCTGTAGCAGTACAATATAAAGAGCATGCAGATAGAAATAAATTTTTATTCACATTATGGTTTTAATATTTTAAGTTGAGTTTTGACAGCGATGCCGTGAACATATTTAATGTTATAATTTCTTACCACTTCTTGAATATTCTTTTGTGAATAAAAGAGGGGGATGAGGCATACAGTTCTGTTAATGTGTTTGACTATTTGTATGAATAAGGTAGATAATAAAAGTTAATCACAGTATAAATAGAAATCCCAATTCTTTTAGGTAATGATGGCCTTGGCAAATCATCTCCAGCATGTGGAAGCAGAAAAACAAAAATTACGAGCACAAGTGAGACGTCTCTGTCAAGAAAATGCCTGGCTTAGGGACGAGCTGGCCAACACGCAGCAGAAACTGCAGGGGAGTGAACAGAGAGTGGCCACCCTAGAGGAGGAACAAAAACATCTCACGTTTATGAATGAGATGAGAAAATATGATTCATCAGACCCTAATCAACAATCACAGGTGTGTGTGGCAGTTAAGACGAGATTGATTTTTGTTATAAAACATGATTCAGCTCTTGACAGTTATGTTATTGAATTGGTATGTAAGGTTAGTCATAGGTCAACTATTGTGGGACTATTTATCTACTACAACTTTTATTTTTAATTTTGATAATTTAAGTGTAAAAAAATACTTAACAACTTATTTAGTGTGTAAATGATTTAGGACATAATTATTGAATTATTTGCTTCACTGGAAAATTTAGCTTAAATTAAGCTAATTTCAAATTTCTCTTCATGAAAACAAGACATACACATGACTTGTAAAGAGACTGTTACAATTTCTTTTTTTTTCAGACCTCAGAAGGAGAGAAAGAATCTGACCAATCAACACAGTCCTTGGACCTCGGCTTTCCCGACGATGACGATGAACCTCCACAACAAGAAGGTAAGGCTAATGACAGCAAAGTTCCCCTTATGGACCTGGAGCAAGATTTCACCCATCATTGTGATACAAATGAAGTTAATTTTATACGCAGTTCACATACTGTATACAGGGAAATTTTCGCCCCCGTTTTATTTTCACCCCTTTCGCCCTATCCTCATTTGGGCGAATTTAAAACGGGGCGAAATCAAAGAATGCAGTACAATTTCTTAAACAAAACAATGACTGGGCGAATTTAAACGGGGCAAAATTGTTTGCAAGTGTGAAAGGGCGAAAATAACCCTGTATACAGTATTATCATAATGATAATTGATGTAAAGAGAATTGATGACCTTTCATGTAGATATGAAAATCTCAAAAGAGATGAAAATCTCTCGCGAGTCTGATCTTGACAAGATTGTTGAGAGGTACCGAGTTGCCAATGACCCGGATTTGTATATGGCAGGGGAAGGTGAGATAGAAACAATCCATTTACGCACTTGCAAGATTCTGTACAGTCATCCCAACACAACACAGCTTCTGAAACCAGATCAAAACAGCTATTGAATAAATGAGATTTGTAATAGGCACTTGTGGAAAAGTGATAACTTTTTGAAATTTAGTTTTTATAAGGACATTTTTGGTTAAAAGTACTTGATAAATAGCTTTTGATTAAACTTCTCTTTAGTACACCAGCTGTCTTCATTGTTTCCTAGACACTGCAATAATTTATTCTACATCAGATATATTTTTATGTACTTAAAAAAAGGTGAGTATTCACAATTCTTTAGGTTAATAATAGACCACATACCACTACCAGGTACCCTTGCATGCCTTCAAACCCTTGTAAATACTCCAATAGTTAAAGTTAAAATCGCACAAAAAGGTTTTCCAGGAATAAGTTTTTTAAAATTGACACTTCTAAATATTTTTTTGTGTATTTCCTTTCAGTCCTTTCTCCCTCACAACCCAGTGCCATGGCCCAGGCTGCCAGTGGAGGGTACGAGATTCCTGCGCGACTACGCACTCTTCATAATCTAGTCATCCAGTACGCCTCTCAGGGCCGCTATGAAGTGGCTGTCCCACTTTGTAAGCAAGCCTTAGAGGACTTAGAGAAGACCAGTGGCCATGACCATCCTGACGTAGCAACTATGCTAAACATTCTAGCTCTAGTATACAGGTATGCTCCATATTCCATAGGACTTCATATCATCATCTGAATCAACAGCTTGACTCCGTCTAGATTCTGGACATATGTCCTTGTTGCATTTGATTATTTCTAAGATTTATATTAGCATTGATTAATTCACAAGTTAAATGCATGTAATGTTAACATCGTTTAGAAATATGAACGTTGATTAGAAATTGAAAATATGTAATTTCAGAATTCAATGTACAGGAAATGTTAATATAAACCAATACTGTTGTAGTTGAATTTGGATGTAGCCTGTTTTTGCATGATATTCAAGCAGTATTGCTTCAATTTCATTTGAAGGAAGATTTTAATGATGTACTTTCTAAATTGTGATGAGGATATAATGTGTAGAGGTTAAGCACCAAGTTCTTTTACAGAGACCAAGGCAAATTTAAAGAAGCCGGTAATCTACTACAAGATGCTTTAAAAATTAGAGAAAAAACACTGGGTTCTGATCATCCAGCAGTGAGTGTCCGACGAAGCGTGACTGCTGTTACACATGACCGAATCACGCAGCAATCACTGGAAAAGTCATAGCAGAGTCAAAATTCTTATAATCACTATGAAAATTGTTAATGACATATGAACACATTTAAAAATATTGATACACTTTGGATATAATGTTTGAATGGTTTGTTCGGGAATTGAGATTCTGTCATTTGTAACAACAGTTAATGCTTTATGATGTGAAGGAACTTCCCAAGAAGTCAGCTCTTGGGCAGTTTTTCTTCACAGAGTATTTCGAGGATTTTTTTATTAAAGGTTTAATGAAAAGTAATGACATTTCAGAGATCAAGGCAAATATAAGGAGGCTGCCAATTTACTGAATGATGCCCTGGGCATCAGAGAGAAAACACTCGGTCTTGATCATCCGGCTGTGAGTTCATGCATGAAATTGGTCCATACTCGGTGTTGTTTTATTCAGTCACTTATTATATCTTTATTTGGAACATGGCATTCTAATAGTTGAAGTTTGCATGGCGTAATTCTATTTTTTGTTTTACGGTAAATCTTTGGTTGTTATCTAAAGTAATGATTTGGCATTAGTTAATATTATACATGATACCAGTACTGTATATTTCAGTTTTGTGATTGTTTGGTATTTAGTTATGATAGGAGAAACTTTTTTCTTTTGTATAATGAAAGAGCAAGTGGGAATTTTTAGTTTCATGCAGCCGGCTGCAGCCCTCAACATTTTGCTGAAGGAAGTTACAACAGAATTTTTTTTTTGGGAAAAGAAACATCTCTCTACTATCCTTTTTTATTTTAAAAAGTTCTATATCTTGTATAAAAACAAAATCAGGGCCAATTCCATGGCTATCTGGGCGTAATTCCCATGGTAAAACATTGGTAGCTATCAACAATAGCATATTTCGGGAATGACCAGTATGTTGTTAGGGCATAGCTGAATGTGCCATAATTTACATCAATTTGCATGATGACCATCAAAGGATGGTCAATATTTTTATTTTTTATGATGGTTTCCAAAGGACTGCATGATATGATTTATTTTTAATCTTGATATAAACTGTTAGTTGTTGTTGTTATTCTTTTTAATCAAAATGTTTCAAAAATATTAAAATTTAATTTTGTTTTATGTGATGAAAGTTTAAAATACTTATTGTATCTTACTATGCAGCTATGAACACTAAAAAAAATAAAATTGCATTTATGGAGTTTGAATAATAAGATAATAGTTTAGTCATGTATTTACTGATGAAATATTGCTTTAAAAATGAATATACAGTTGTGATAGTCATGAAATCAGGTATAAAACTTGTATATACATGTATAGGAAATGTATTCAGAAAAATATAACAGTAAATCAACACATTAATAGTGAAAGTTTGAGGATAAAGCATCTATATAGACTTAATACTGTTTTAGCAGGATTGCATAAAAGAAATGTAATCACATATTGCATTGTCTTGGTATTATACTATAGTTTTATCAGTTTTATATGTACGGATCCAGCTTGTTTTATGAATGAAGCTACCTTGTAGGTGGCGGCAACACTGAATAATTTAGCTGTTCTATATGGAAAGAGGGGCAAATATAAAGAAGCAGAACCTCTATGTAAAAGAGCATTAGAAATTAGAGAAAAGGTAATTTGTTGTAGGGTTTGAAATTAAATAGATTTTTTTTTTAAGAGAACAATAAATATCAAAAAGTATGATAAGCTACTGCACATGAGTAGAGCAGAATTATTCCAAAATAATGAGAAAATACACATAGTTTTGTTTCAATATACATTGCATATTTTTTACTGAACATTTTCAAAAATTTTCAGGTTTTAGGAAAAGATCATCCAGATGTTGCTAAGCAGTTAAATAATTTAGCCTTACTTTGTCAAAATCAAGGAAAATATGAAGAGGTAAGGAAGTTTGTTGTGTAGTGATTTTTTTTTAAACATGCAATTGAATTTTGGAAATGATAAATATAATGTTTTACGATAATAACTATTGATCTCCTGAAAGTACATGTATAATTCAAATTTTTTACAAACTTCTGAATACACTGTAAACCAAGTTGATCTATATTTAGAATTTTTTCACACATTTTTAAAATGCTGTCCAGGTTGAGCAATATTATCAGCGAGCTCTTGAAATTTATGAAACCAAATTGGGACCAGATGACCCCAATGTTGCTAAAACTAAGAACAACTTGGTAAGACTGGTCCTAGGAATCATCAGGGTGTTTATACTTTGGCGTGGATCTGTGGTTAGAATTGAACGGCTGAAATCATGAGAATTGTTCCTGTTTTATTTTTTGCTTTTGCATGATATTTTAGTTTTCCTTGTAGTGCATATTTTTCTTATCTCTTGCAGTTGCCCATCATTCCATTCCCAAAGGGATTTTATCTTGAGTTTTTCATTGCAAATTCTCATGATTTATTGACTGTTTAAATCGAAACTTATGAGATCTTTGAACTTGTAATATTGTATACATATCAAAAATTTTACATGTAATGTTTAAATCAAGCCATGAAAAAAGCAGTTCAAACCACAGATAGCCATTTTATTTTATTTTTTTACGAAGAATTTTATTTTTGCATGTCTCATTTTGATTTGGTGTTGTTACCAATTGCTTTTGCAGGTGGAACATTATTATAAAAGAGCTTTAGAAATATACCTCATACGTTTAGGTAGAGATGACCCAAATGTATCCAAAACAAAAAATAATCTGGTAAGAACTTGTCTGAAACTTAGTACAGGAAGTAGACTAAAACTTTAATATGAATTTAAACATACATGTACTAAATGTATGTGGCACTGTGAAATTTTAGTGTCCTTAATCGTTTTAAAGTATACAGCTTTCCTTGTCTTGGAATGTCATATTTAAATTCTTTAACCTTCTTGCTAAAGTACTTGGAAGGTGTAGTGAGATTGTACATAAAGATGCATTTGTTCATCAATTTTCTGCATATATATATATACATACATGGAGAAAACAAGGGTTTACCTTTGTCATTTGTCCATCTTGCTATAATCTAAATATCCATTTCTCTGCATTTTATACAACAAAAATTTCTTTTCATTATTAGCAGTACTGGTAGCTAGTGCATGTCCTTAACTGCTCTCAATTTATTTTCTTTATTTTGTTACATGTTAAAGATGTATCAATTTATGTTAATAAACCACTTTGAAAAATGTAAATTTTTTCTATCTTCATTCTTGGCTATTTAAAAAAAGTCAATCATTTGATTTTCTCTTTTCAATGATTGTTCCATAAGTCTTTTTTTTTCAATAATTGTTCAAAGTGTTTACTTATTATATTCTGCTTAATTACAAATGCAAATTGTATTCACTAATGAGTTATACATTTTCTTAGGCATCAGCATATCTCAAACAAGGGAAGTATAAGCAGGCAGAGGCTTTATATAAAGAAGTCCTAACTAGAGCTCATGAAAAAGAATTTGGAAAAGTAGATGGTAAGGCTTTGTTTTTTCAACAAGAAAACATTTTATGTCTAGTGATCACATCTAAAACGCATTCAGATATTTATAAAGATACTGAAATTTTGACATAATATGTATGGGGGTGCTAGAAACCTAATTTGTGTTTGTTTCATTTATAGGTGAAAATAAACCTATATGGATGCAAGCTGAAGAAAGAGAAGAAAATAAAGTAAGACAAAAAATTATATTCACAAGTTATTTAGAAATTTTATGTTTCTAAAGATAGTGAAATAAAGATTCATTTGAATGACTTCTTTGAATGAATTGGAAATGAGAATGAAGAGAATATTTTACAAAAACTGTTGCTTGGTTTACTACATGTACTTTGTGTTTATAAGGGTAAAAGTAAGGAAGGATCTCCACTGCCTGAGTATGGGGGCTGGCATAAAACTGCCAAGGTTGACAGGTAACATTATTATCAAAAATTCATCTTATAGTGGTGTTATGCATAATATATTTACAAGGAAAAATGATAGAAGTGGTTGGTTATATAATTATATAAAGACATGTAAACTGACTTTGTTTAATCAGTCTTGAAAATATTTGAAAAGAAGTGCTTAATTTATCTTAGAATATACTTTATTATTGCACAGTCCGACAGTCACAACCACTCTTAAGAATTTAGGAGCCTTGTACAGGAGGCAGGGAAAATATGAAGCTGCAGAAATGCTAGAGGAATGTGCAATGAGATCCAAGAAGAGTGTGAGTTGACATTTACTTTACATTTCACTCTGTATATTCAATATATATAGTTGCTGCACAAAATATAGGATTGATCTGGAGTCACTGGTGGTAAAATTCTCTGTTGTGATGATTTTATACCCAACATTCTGCATGTGAATAATCTGTTATATGCATATAATTTTACATATATCGCATATAATAACTGCAGAATCTGTATGCATTCTGTATTGAAAGGGTTATAAAGCAAAACCTGTATCAGGAATTGTAGATGCTGTCACCCCCAAACTCTTACAAGGCAAGGCTAACATGCAGTCGACCAATATTAAGTGTTTTACTTGACATTCACAAGTTTACTTTTGTGTTTTTTTTTTGACATAACATATTTTTGAGCTGCTTCTTGCAGTCTTATTTTATCTCTGGTTTGATTTTTTTTTTCATTTTAATCATCTTTCTTTAATGTAACTAAAAAGGTCAAACTTTTCCGTGGCAGCAAAATATAACTTCAGTTTTTTTGCTCAGTGCTTTAGCATTGGACTAATTTTTGTTCAGTCTTGTATAAACAAAAAAGTATTCAATTGAAAGTATCAAGTGAATGGTAAGAAAGAAAGGGAGACGGGTCATGGAGTCAGTGTAGGTCAGGGGCTTGATCTAATTTTGGTTTTCTGCTAGGCCCTGGATGTGGTCAAACAGACCCAGGTCTTGGGTGCTGACTATTCTAAAGACCACTTACCCCCCACCAATCCGGGGCGGCGGCGATCGGGAAGTAAAGATCGGGGGTTCAGGAACTCCACAGAAAATGTGTCACATATTGGTGATACGGAGGATGTAAGTATATAGGGCTGGAGGGGCCCTGAATGGGGGTGAGTAAAGCACATTGTCACAATAAGTGTTCCAAATAATCAAGGTTTGTCCATTCTGAATCCCAAACTCAGTTTAAGATAACTCATGCACCATGATAGAATTAATATTAAACCTAACAAAAATACTCTCATACTGAAAACTAATGGTGAAGTGATGAAAAATCATGCATATCCAGTATATTCTTCTTTGGTTTAACATTTTATCTTGTGTATGTATGATCTTTGGCAAACTAATGTGGGATTTTTGTCGCTTTGATTAATTGGAACAGTTTGGAGAGAGGGAGAAAAATCCATTCATTGATAATGCACTGCTAACATCTGTCACAGAAAAAACATGCCTTGACTTCTGCACTGATAAGTTTTATCCATAACATTTTCATTGCATGCATGTTGTGTATGTGGTATTTGAAAGGGAAAGTCTAATGTAGACTGTAGTTTAGCTTTATATTAATATAGAAAAGTGTGGGTTCTAGACCATTTCTATTGTAGATAACTTTTTAAATTCATTTAATGTTAAAACATCACTAATTAAGAATCACCTTGCATGGATTTGTCATCATTTTTTATCCTGCTTTTTGGGGGAGGTGTGGATGGGTGTCAATGAATGGAGTTTACCCTTTCTTATGTTGTACTGTGCTTTACATGTGCAAAGGAATAAAAAAAGTAACCCTCAGTTTCAGATTAACCACAAAACAGCACTGTAGTATTAAAAAAAACTAAACCATAGAGTACTATTAATGGTGTTTGTATCAAACATAGAAGCACAGTGAAATATTCTTAACCATTTTAATTTGAACTCAAATTGAAATTCTTAATGATCAGAACAAAAACCTTTTTGGCTCATTATGAAACATTCTGAAAACTGAGGCTTGTTAGTTGGGCTTTAACCCCTCCTTTGTAAATACTAAGGGAAAATTAAAGAGAAGTGGGTCCTTCACCAAACTGCGAGCTTCCATTCGACGGTCCAGTGCTAAGTTGGTGCAGAAACTAAAAGGAAAGGGCACAGGCGAAGAAACGGGCAGGTAAGAGACCATTTTCCTTAGTGATCACCTGAAAACAAATTATTTACTCTTTGATTTTTTTTTTCTCTGGCCAAAAGTTTTGTTATTGAATGAAAAGTCCATTGAAAAAAAATACAAGACAGCAGATTGCTTAGCCTTGCCTTGTGCTGGTAATGGGACGCTTCTGATTCGTTGTTTTTTGTTTCTTGCCCAGCGTTTGGAGTTTGCCAGGGTCAGGGTACCTGGATACTCCCATTCCCCGTTACTGGGACGAATCTAGCGGCCCCGCCTACTCTAGATCTGGGTTTGTGTTTTCATCTCCTGCCACAATAACTCTGTACTACTACTGTTGCTTTAGACACTCAGCTTCTGTATCAAAGTCCTAACCCCATTTCTTATCAATACTATACATATAATGGTTTTGTATAACAAATGGATTTTTTTAATACAATATATGGATATTGCTAGCAATATGGTAAAGTGGTACACAGGTAATATTAATAGATTTTTACTCAAAACTGAGCCACACTCTTTTTTTTACCCTTTTTCTGCTTGCAGCACAGCAGCAAGTAGCAGCTAGAAGTGTTTTCTTACAGCTTTTATTTTAACAGACTTACTTTTCAGCTTAATGACAAGATGGCTGTCACTTGCATTAAAGAGTGATTAAGGGGTTGATGGCATTGTGATTTTTTTTTTGTGCTAGAAGTCAAATAAATCAGAGCAAAATCAAAATCCCCCAATTTTGTAAAAGACTTTTTTCATTAAAACAAAATTTCATTCCAACAGAGTGTGGTAGAGAAAGCCAGGATTTGGGTGATGGATTTTTATTGTTCTAGCCATTTAAGGAATCAAAAATATCTTAAGTGAAAATAGCATGAAAGATGTTGGTACATTTTGAAATAGATTATAATTTGATACAATGTAAATACTGAATATTAAATTTAAAGAATGTATGGAAAGAGTTTGATACATAATTGTATATTCTATGTTAGCATGTCTCTGAGGTTTTTCAGGTGTACTAATATTTTCTGAATTTCAGCTTTCTTTCTTAGGATGACATTTGTTATTTGATTCATAGTTGTTCTTTCTTTTCTTATTTTGGCCAAAGATCAAAGAATTTATCAACCATTCAAAGAGTACAATAATTTTTATCTCTGGTTTTTAGTATGAAAAGAGCAAGTTCCATGTCAGTTCTCAACACAAGCAGTAACCAACCAGATAAATTAAGTGTAAGTGTCAAATTCAGTTTAAGTGTAAATGTAAAATTCAAGGTCATTTTAATCTAGTAACAATCAACCAAATGAATTAATTTAATATGTCGAAATAATAATCATTTCTCATATAAGACAGTAATCAAAGTGTTAGTCACAATTTGTCTGTCAGTTCTCATCTGTAGCAGCTATGAACTATAGTTTAGCTTCAGTATCTCAAACAGTGATATCTCGAATAGCATAGATTTGTGTGCGCTTTGGAAGGCCCAAACTCTTTGGGATATCTTGAAATTTTTCTCGTTCCTATCATGTTTGAGATGACAAGGTTTGACTAAAAATTGATACATGTACCTGGTATATTGTAATTTTCTTCTCCAAGCAAGTTCTTTAATGTTATGACTTACTGTCGATCACTAATAATCAGTCAACCTCCCTCCCCCCATAAGTTTTTTTAAAATTCTGAATAAATTTTTTTTTTTTTTGCAGGAAAGCAGGCGGTCGTATGGGGATCTAAGAGGGCAGGGCAGGACGGCCAGTTCCGACCACTTAATCAACCGACCGTTCTGATGCCGGCTTGGTGTGCAATCACGTGGGCTGATATCATCATTCCTGACACTTGTGATAGGGTTCAGAGTCAGCCCCACCCCTCCACTTCATACTGTTATCACCCCCCGGGGCTGTGTACTTATTTCAAACTCCTTGTGTGTGATTCTGAGAGAATTAGTGGCTTAGTCACAGTGTAAATTGCTTCAATAAAAGTACTTTCATCATTTTGCCACATTGTTCTGTGTCAAACGCTGTCACGTCAAGATCAACTTCATTGTTACGGATTATTTATTATTATTATAACAGCATGTTATTTATTTTCTTTGGTCAGTTTGCTGTCATATGTCATCACTGTAAATGACCATTCGAATTTGGTGTTCATATTCTATATTTAGCTTCTTAAATGTTGAAAAAACCAATGAAACTTCAACAATTGAAATTGTAAGTGATTGTTGTTGCTGTTCTTTAAATAATGCATGTAGTTGGGTATTTCATAGAATTTCTCACTGAAGGGTTATTTTTATTTTTTGTATAATAAAAACAAAGTCTGTACAATGCAATGTGTAAGAAAGATTAATTTTCCCCATAATTTTATCGTAAGGGAGAATATTTGACAGTTTTGCTTTCTAGAGTATCATTTGAGAGCACATTTCACGGATAGTGATAATAAAAGGATGAAACGGGTGGATGGTATAGTTTAATTCCAAAGCTTAAGTATGCTTCTGTTTGCTTGCATTCTGAAAAATGTTTAAATAATGTTGAGGGTGGGGAAAAGAAATAATGTTCTAGATTTCCTTTAAGTTTATAAACAATACGTCTGCTATAAGGAATACAGAGCTAATTGATGAAGCTTGGACATGGTCTGTCATGAGTAATTCCATCTGTGCTCCTAATACCATATATACATGTACCTATATTAGCCTTTTAAATATGACTTGGTTCTTCACTATTTTCACTTGTAAAATTTTATTTTTTATTGGAAAAAAGCTTGAAGGATCTTTGCATTTTTCACTTTCTTTGACATATTGCAGTCCTTGGGAATCCACAAATTGGTTAAAGAAAATTTGCCAAACAGGTTGTGTTCAGAGTTTCCTGAATTTGATTTTTGCATAGTTTTGAATACTCACATTTAGGGATCTCCTTTTGCTGCCTCCTATGTTCTGTATAGAAATTTGAAGTTGATTCTTGTTAGATTCATGTTTATTAAATTTGTTTTATTTTCTCAATGCCACCATTAGCACAATTTCCCACAGGAATTGGCCAAGGATGTGGAAGTTAATTTGTGTTGAGTTGTGAACAAAATGGGGTACAAGTTAAATGTGGAATGAATGAATAAGAAGGGTTTCAGGTGATCTCAGAATGAACTTTGTGCACTTATTGAGATGTGAAATCAGATGAAAGCCTCATTTTCTTATCAGCTTTGATATGTTTATTTTCAAAGTGCTGTATGATTTTTTTTTTTATTTTTATGTTTGGTATGTATATGTGCTATTATTGCTTATGTGATAATTTACATGAACAAAATATTTTTGTTGAGAGCTGAAATTTTGTTATTTAGGTAGGCACACTAGAATAGGGGTTAATGTTTATTTGTAGAAAGTATAATTTGCAGTGCTCAGGGCTTTGGTTATGTTGTAGATCAATTGCTTGCCAATTTTTAAATGAAGTGCTTATGATAAGCATGCCCTACTTTCTTTTTTTCTGTTACGGCTATGTCGAAAAGAAAAATACATGTATTTTACATGTTTGAATTTTTATACATGTTCCTTATAAGGAATGTGTGATCTGGGTAAATAGTTATATTTCAAGTTTCAATTACTCCTTACAATGGCATGAAGTGTTTCATGATTGTCCCAGATGTACTGTTTGTATTTATATAAACATTCCTGTTCTATCATTAGTGTGAAGGGAAAGGGGAGGCTACTAGTACATGTACTTATGTGCAAACTGAAGTTGTGATTTTTATGAAAACTGTGTAAGACATGATATTAAACCAGTTTACGTTGTAGATATTAATCCTTTATTCAGTGTTCAATGGAAGCTATTTTTAGTGATGATATAGGATTTTAAGGTAACCTGAAATTTTTTTCTTACTTCAAACATGGGAAGTAATACCCACAGATTTTTAATTCTGAACTGTAGATGGATATGATAATGGTAGCAAAAATTGCTGACAAATAGTAATATATAAATGTTTAAGAAATTAGTAATATAATACAGATTATTTGATACCAAGTCATCTAGCCATGCCTGATATATGGAGTCCAATGGCCTCCTGTTGTGATATCATTTGTTTTTTTGCAAGAATGGGTGTATATTGTTGCTGTAATTTGTTGCCAATGTACTGATTATAAAGCTAATGTATGCAATATAATATTTGTACAATAAATTATGAAATCTAATTTCTTTCTGTCATGACACTTTATAGAAATGAATTAATTAAATATGAATAAATTTAATTGTTTTGTCTTGCCTATTAAGTATTTGTGCACAAACTTTTACAATGCTAAGGTTTACTGTAGACTAGGCTAGTACATAAATTGTTGAGGTTGTTATACATGTAAATGATCAAGATACCTATGTTGTTCTCTGCGGTGAGGATTCACTATACACACAGTAAAACAGGCTTATATCAAACATACTTTTAATGAATTGTCGCTTATAGCAAAGTCATTTTCATGTCCCTTGACTTTATACAATACATATTCAATTGAATACATTATGGATATAACAAATTACGCTTAAAACAATGCATCTGTCTCCGGCACTTCATCATAACAGTGTTTAACTGTAGATTGGATTAAACCCCTCAATCCATTTTGTGGGGGAAAAGGGGCACAGATGAACGTTGATATCTCAAATATCACAAATATGTCAGTATGAGTTGGAAGGAATACACTTTTCCATCTGTCTTTCCGTAAACATCACATTTTTGATTTCTTAACCAATGAGCCATTTTCAACCAAACTTGCAAAAGAATTCTTGTGTAAATTAAAGGGGTTTTGAATTTGTACAAATGGAAGGCCACACCTACAAGGGGATGATTACATATTGCAGAAAAATTATTGACATCTTTTAAAAATTTTCTTTGCAAGAACCACTGGTCAAGAAAATATAAAACTTAGAAGAATTACACGCTTAGTTTGGACTTTCAGTAAGGCGTGGCATTCTCAACGTTACCTAATTAGCTTCTGCAATTTACACAGCTTCCCTTCACTGTTGAAATATACATATGATAGAAATGCGGCCGAATGTCAACTGGTGTAGTAAATAGCCAATTAAAAGTTCTCTCACGGCACAGAGGTAGGGCATAAGTCGTCTGATCATTATCAACAACAATTTTAAGTTCCTATGTTATTAATTTCGTAACCAATGAGAATCTACTAGTATTCTCCATTACGTAGCGCCGAGAAAGTCACGCCCTACTGAAAGTCCAAAGATATGGTAAAATACTCCTATGTGGAAGCATCCTTAGGTAGTGTTGATTCAACTTTATGGGACCCAGAGGGTTAGAATGGGACCACAATGGACGAACAAAATAGATAAATGCTTTGAATGGTCATATTCATATGGAAACATCCTCAAGTATTGTAGAATTATGTTTGTTTAAATCTTGACTACCAGAGGTACCCAGATTATGGCGAGGCATCATGGTGTTCAAGGTTTTACATGGGGAGTCTGGTAAAATCTTTCCAATAACAGCAAAAGCATGACTGGTCATACATGTACATTTGTATTTATATGGAAGCATCTTCAAGTAATCTAGAAGTTTTACAATGGAAAATCTTTAAAAGTCTTCTTTACAAGAATAAGAAAGCTATGATTCGTCATGTTAATTCAGAAGTTTCCTGGGATTCAATTTTGTTCAAACCATATCCTGGTGTGTAGGACAAGGCCATAATAGAACAACTACATAGGAAAAAATCTACTGCGATCCTTTTCACAAACAATCTTACGACTTAAACTAAAATTTCCTCTCATTCTACATCAGATATCTAAGCTGTGAAAATATTTTTCTATTGCATTATGAATATATTAATATTTGATGAATTAAAAGTTGTAATTAATGATTTAGAGAAAAAAATCTTTTTAATAAATGAAAAATTACAGAGTTACGAAGTTTTAGCTTTAGTCCACAGGTGATTGTGGACAGGACCCCCCCCCCCTCCGATATTCAACCCCGGGGCGTGTTGGACATTTTTTTTCACAAATTATATTTATTACACGTATTCATCATGTGTATAATTTGAAAAAAAAATCGTAAAAACCCCAAAATAATCACTCCACATAAAAATACCCCACTATTTCTCTTGTCATGTTTACTGAGTGGGTTATTTTTATGTGGAGCGATTATTGTGGGGGTTTTACGATTTTTTCATATTGTACATATGATGCAACAAGCCCCGAGGTTGAATATCGGGGGGGGGGGTGTCCTGTCCACAAGTACCCGTGCTTTAGTCGGAAGATTTTGTGAAAAGGGCCTCAGATCATTGAATATTGATGGACATTCATGGCGCTCCGTTATTATCTGACCATTTTATGTATTCTTTGAACACAGCCATTTGATTCGTTAATTTTTTTTAACCAATAGTATAATAATAATTATATTATTATTACACAATGGGTTAAAAAATTATTACTGAACGAAGCGCCTGTCTCTGAAGCAGAAAATTTCACCTGCACATAGCACTTTCTCATTTTACTCGATACTCAAGAGCAAACTCTGAGGACAATCAATCTAAATACCAAGGCAGACTATTGACAGAAAAACTGATGTTCAAGGATTTCAACAACCTCACCAGCATTTCGTAAAATTATACGAAAAATTGATGTTTCAAGAAATTCAGCAACCTTGTCGGCATTTCGTAAATTCTGTGGTTATTCTTTTGACTTTGGTATAGCAAAAATAACCAATCATTAGGTCGTATTTTGGCTGACATTTTTCATAACAATTAATTGTTAGGCCTTTGTTTTATAATAAAAAAAAATGACTACGAAATATTCAGTTCATTTGGTAAATACGTAGGGTTCACAGTGGATGTAATTGGTCGACATGGGGATGTGTTCTCCTCTTAGACACTTGATCCCACCTCTAGAATTTCTGAGTCTGTGTTTTATGCTCTGTTCACAGATTTGCATTAAAAAAAAAGAGTTTACCTTTTCATCTCCTCCTTCCCCCGGGCCCCTAAAACTTGGCTTAAGAAACGAAAAATATAAATGTAAAAAGATAACGAAATAAAGAAGCCTAGCCTAAATTAAGCCGAAATGTAGAAAAGGCCTTTCCCATGTAGATAGTTTGTCTAAGGTACGTAAGGTAGCTTCGTTTTTGGAGGAGATGGGGCTGCCAGAAAAAAATCAACTTATTTGGAAAAAACAAAAAACAAACAAAATTAAGCAAAAAAGGGTTGTTTTATGCCAGACTCGGAAATCCTATTTCGTGGGGGTGGGGTGGTTTGGTTCCAACTTCTTCCAGTATCATTTTTCCCCACTACTTCTCTTTGGAGAGGTGGACAGGCTTTCACCTGCATCCGACGAAGACTAGACCCACTTCTCTAAAGATACTATTCCTGTTTTGTTTACATAGGCGTCGGAACCGGGGGGGGGGGTTTGTAACTAGCCCCCCCCCATTTGACTTTTTTTCCCAAATATATACTTAGTATAGACATTGAACATATCTTCGTTAGTTTAGCCCCCCCCCCCCCCCACTTTCCACTGATACGTCTTAGTATAGGTTACAAATGGGGAAAGTGGTGGTGTTCGGAAGAAAATTTTTTGTAATGGAAATTACCCCCCCCCCCCTCCCCCCACGAAATAGGATTTTCGTGTTGGGAAATAGACATTTCCTTTTTTTTTTTTTTTTTTTTTTTGAAGGTACAAAATTTTTTTTTTTACACTTAGCCCCCCCCCCCCTCCCCCCACTTTCAATTTGCTTCCGACGCTAATGGTTTACGAATATTACAACAAAGCAGTGAACAGTGAACACTTTCCAGCAGTGTTTTTATTTTGTTATCATTGGAAAAAAGTGGGGAGCCCCCACTCCCTACCCCCCTCCGATGCTACGTGCCTGTGTCGAACAAAACCTAGAGACTAAGGTTGTCGGAATTTCGAGTTCCGTTACGTCTTTAATTTTACGTTCTACATATGGGTTTCCGGTTTGAACAACAAGCAAATTTTGCGGGAACGTTTTGGTATGAAAATTATGTAGCTTAAATGATCGCTAAATAGACTAGTTCAGGGAAGTATTTTTATGCATAACGTATATTTACATTTTACTTAATTTTCCTCTAAATACATGGAGCATGTAGTATTGAGCAATTATGCAATACAGTCTACTGGTTGAAGATAAAGCAATCTTCCATGCTTCCATCTTGTCGATGCTACTCTCTCAGATACTGAATGTTTGAGCCAATGGCAGAGAAAGGATCAGGAGAACATATCTAAAAGAGATCAACCAATTTATCTGCACCTCAGGGCTCTACATTAACTTTTTTCCCTACTTGTCCATTTGGACAAGTGACCAAGCGTCAAGACATTTACTTATCCGAACTTCAACTTCACTTGTCCGAAAATTTTTCAATAAGTTTTGATTGATTCGTGATGATATTGATAAATACAGCAAAACACATAAAACAAAATTTTATCAAGTCTTTCTGTCCTAACAGCAGCATAAATGTTCACAAGTGAACATGTCAACATCAAACAGAATCCAAAATTTTAAGTTCCATGCCTTTCCAGTAGTATGCAACTAATGAACTTCGATCCTGATCAAATATGAACTCAATTAATAGCAATCCATATTGTGATCGAAGTCCAGTTCTATGTACAGCTACCATCTTTAAACTACCAATTAACTTTCAACACTCATTCTTTTTATTATTTAGAGACTCCTTTACATTAAAATGCACGTCCAATCGGACAAATGCCCAGCAATATTCACTTGTCTGTAATCCTTTTTCACTGGTACCGGACAAGTGAACAATCATTAATGTCGAACCCTGCAGGTGACCTAGCTGCAGAACTGTAGCTCTCTGCTTGAAGAAATTCAAACAGATAAAGCAGAGAGCTACAGATCCAAGCATTGTAAAAACCTTTGAAATTTTGTAAGCAGGTCTCATTTAAAAGTATAACTAGGGTGTTTCACAATATATGTCAGTGTAATGTCACACATCTAAAGACAGATAGATGGATGATAACAAAAGCTACATATTCATTTTATATATCATTTTAATCAGCATATATTCAAAATTATTTTATTGAGTCAGAAGTATATGCAACTCTCCATTTCAGTTACTATGGCAATGAATTCTACAATTTTGTTCTCCAAGTGTTTTCCTAACATTGTCCAAAATAACTAATTTAGACTAATGGTTAGACATTTCTGACCAGTTGTTTTGTAAGCTCCACAGGATACTTGAGGCTTTTCTTGTTTTATATCTGACTTTTTAGAACCCTCAAAGTG